CACTTTCCATCAGGTGACCCGCCTGCTGGTTTGCATCCTCTAATAAAAAAAAAACAAAAAATAATAATAAATTACCAGCGTCGCATAGTAAGCCAAAACCTCCTTTCTAAGAAAAGGCTAATGTCCGGCAGTGGACTATTAGAGGCTGTTGATGATGATGACGCGCATTTAATTGTTTTAATTTCATTTGTCACTGTATTGATACTCTCATTGAGAACTCTGGTAGAATGTATATTATTTTGTATATATGTTATATATGTATAGTACTGGCGTGTACATAATATATAAATCATCACTAACACTCTCCTTACCCACCCACAGTAATAATTTACTTAAACCTTATATTATTAAGTATCATAAATTTTTATTTAATTACCCCGAACTGTAACCTCAAGTATAATAATTTTATCGGATTACTGAACCTTTAATCAAGCTCGTAGGTATATTTACTTTGAAATTAAGCCAGAATGCCCCAAATTTTGTTCAGTAAAACCCAACATTATTTCATACTCATTTTCATTAATCAAAGCTGGGTATTCCCCGGGACAGCGGTAATCCTGCGATTATTTCAAATTATGCCTTACCTTCCATATATAAAGTGTACTTTTTATTTGACTACGAAATTTGTAGAAAGTTACTGTGTAGCAAATATTGTTCTGCCACGAGTGCTACACCGTAGCGGTAAACTTCAGTTTTAAATTTTATGCTACGCCCTAATAGGTTTTAGTTACGTATGTTGTAGTGTTGTGTTGTAATTTGAATAATTATGTCAGCGCTTTGGTGAATGTTTGACACTTTGTAAAATGTTTTACGTAGGCAAATGGCGACTAGCAGGTTTATATTAACAAGCTGTTCCACGTTGTTTTCTGGCCTGTTGTGCCAGTGTTTAGTGATCCTTATTACTGAGCTAGAAGTTTTAAGTTTGATTCCCACCCGATGAACACAATCTCAGTGTCGTTGTGGTGACGGATTAAGAATACGGAATGTCACTACCCAATCATACCGTAGGTGTCGTAAGATCCGTCTAAGAGCGCAAAACAATGCAGGACACCATCACTGCAAAAATAAGGTAAACTTTCCACAAACCCTATACCAACCCGTGTGGCCAGCGTGGTATAGTAAGCCAAAACCTCCTTTATAAGGAGAGGCCTATGTCCAGCAGTGGACTATTAAAGGCTGTTGATGTGATGTGTGATGTTTATTGCTGTCGTAACATACGAAATTTTGATTTTCTGTCCGCTTATAATACGTTTAGTGTTATTTTCTTATTATTTTCGACTTTTGAAAAATATTAATTGTTTTCAATACACACATAATAGACAGATAGACACATACATACTTTTGCTCACATTATACGCCCTTATTTAGCCAACTCAAAATTGATTTCACTTACGAAATAGCCTATTGAAGTCGTCGTCAAAGACGGGAATTGCATTTGGCTTCGCATAATGCCTTATGCAATTCATACCCATAACGTAAAACATTAGATTTTTAAGTTTAAAACCAACGTTTTAGGAATGACAAATAAAGTACTATATTGGTTAAGTACTGTCGAGAGAAGAATCGAGAGAAAAACATTAAGATATATAGCATATTGTAAGAGTATTGACGTCTTCCGAACCTTAGGACTTGTAGTCTATAAATTTATACTTTTACCGTGCACGGTGTAGCATGCTTTAACATATATGGGCAAACTCGACTAGAGTGAAATCTACCACGGTCTCTTAGAAAATCGCTGGTAAGCAACTATTTCCTTGCTTTTAACCGAGTCAGTTTACTTCCAGGATGCCCAACCTCCCCTAATTTTCTGGTGGCAGGAGTATAGGTACTAAAAGGCCAGCAACAGAAAGTATGATGTAGATGATGTGATGTGAACACGATCTTGCAAGACATGAATGTTTCAAAATTTTAAAAAAATACACAGATCGTGATTAAGTTTAAACTTAAATATTATAAAGTATTTTACATAAAATGGTATCAAACTATGTTTCAAATAAAAAACAATGTAAGTTTATTCGTAACATATTCATGTGAAACGTGTATTCTATGAGTATATCTAAGAATATAGGTTAATCTTTGTTTCATTTACTTATTTTCTTCAGCCACTCTCTATGACAAAACCGACACACCCACTTACTTTCAATTAAATATCTAAAACGAAAATATCAAACAAAGAGGCTTTTAAAAACCGCAAGGGCTTGACTCAATTCCTAGACTGAGACAGCTCTAATGAGATCTCTAGAGGGTTACCAACAGAAAAAATGCTTTTAAAATTAAAATAAATTCCTGTCTCGACGGCTCCCGCTGCATGTAATCAATTGGAGATTAAACGAAAGAGGATTGCTGTATTCCGTTGCGGTGTAATTTTCTGTTTTATAATTAAGCCGCTTTCTGCCATCGATTCCAGAATATTCCAGATGGGATTCTCTAGAAGCTTACCGGCTAAGAAAATTATAGATTATAATTGGATTGTATTGTACAAATTATCTTTGAAGCTTTATTATATCCAAGTGTATTGGGACCGGCTTCTGATCCAATTAGATGGTTATTGGCTATAAAAGTGATGAACGTAGGGTATATGTACAATCTTGTTCTTTTTAGCCGTTGGCAACATTCCCTACTGACATTTATGTTTACCCGTTACTCGATAAAAGCCATGCAATTGGCGGAACTGTTGGTCCATTGGTTGTTGGTTTAATATTCAACAGGGACAAATATTGTGATGAGCTTTCCTTGAAGGTTTGAAGGTACCGGTCTGGTAATCGCAGGGCAGCCTAGATGCATGGTGCTCTGAGCGTTGACGTCCAGAGGAGGATTCTTTAATGCTAGCGCTTCGGGTACCCTCTGTACTTTTGAATATGTTTATTAGCAGACTGGTTCCCATAGTAGGCCGTGTGTGAGATATGTGAAGTCATTATTAAATGCAATTGCATGTTTCGATAAACCGACAATATTAACACACGTCACTACTTGCAACTAAATAAACAAATCTCAAGAATAATTTTAAATCTACTTCCAATTGACGTTTGATATTAAAACTTTTGTATGTAAATGTAGTTCGGACGACGAAACTGTCTTACCAATAGCTGGTCTAATGATGGAGCCAGGTACATATGTATATGTATGTATATACTCGTATGCATATGCTCTCATGTATATACTCGTACGCATATGATCGCGTTAATGCCATATGCTTTAAAAACATATTTAAGTAGGTACATATATGTGACACTTTTCATAGAAAATGTATCTATGTTTAAGAAGTGGATACATTGAAGCTTGAGTGTTTTGTGTAATGGAAATTGATTTTACACTAACACTGTTTAATGAAGTTCATGTAGATCGTGTAGTCATTTGGTAATTAGTTCATAAAGTTAAATTTGTACCTTTAATTTCGCACTTTTAACAAAATCTCGCTTGTTAAATCTATAAGAGGTATGTGTAGTTAACCAATTTAAAAAAGGTGGAGTTTCTATTTAATTGAATTTTCTTCGATATTTGTCAAGTTGATTTCAATCATTCTTTATCAATCATTGTTTATGTTATTTAAATTTGAATAAAGGAATCGATCTATGGGTGAAAAATTAAAGGACCAACTGATTACAATTTATCACGGTTTATGGCGCATAAATCTCAGTGATTTAGTTAAAAGTTAGTTCAGAGTTTTATGTAAATTATTTCCGTGCGACGCAGATATTTTATAAAACATTAATATCCTATAATGGTTCTTAGAGGAAAACAAACCATACCGCAATTAAAAACGAAGATTTAGAGAAAAAAAGATAAGAAAGGTACAAGGGGAAAACGCTATTAAACATAACTTGAGAAGGGTTTTTGACAGGTGGTTCTTAATGCTTCATTATAAAGCTGTGCTCACGTAAAAAAAAATGGATGTACTCAAAACGACTTCATAATTTTTCACTAATATTTATTTTAAAACTAACTTGTACAAAGTTTTTGTTCTTGTACCAATCATTTACTAAAAGTTCAGCTTGTGCTTAATACATCATTCTATCGTAACTACCTATGACGGTTGTTGAACGGTATAAGCTCGGGTTGCCAGAAGTAATTTCCCAGAGGTACCCGGCGTTCGATTTCTGAACGTCCTGTGTTGCCACACTCAAATAGATTGGGTTCTTTTCTGTGTAAACTCGCGATTTATTCCCATAGCTTGAAATAATGCAGCCCATAGTTTATTGAGAGTTATTGCCTTTGGCGTTTTATTTGCAGTTTTTTTAGCTGGTTGTTTATCAAAGCGAGACGTTTAAGGATTTTGTTTGTACAGTCGTATAAATAGAATACGCAAAAAGAAGTTGACGTAATCGACTTCAAAGTAAAGCTCCCTGAATCTTTGAAAGTAATTTTAGACAATATTTTTTTGATGTTTAAATAAGATTGCCAGACATGTTTTATCAAATGTTTGTTCAATGTAATTAAACAAAAAAACTGGAGAGGAGTGATCAGGGTCACATAGAGATAACTGAAAATTTGGTACAGTCAGAATGAAAAATTAATGAAATAAATTATTCTTAATAAAGAATTAAATACTCCCTAAATAAGAGTAAATTTTTTTTATCACTTCTTACTTTATTCATAAAAAAGTTTGACGATTGAGTTTGATCAGATTGTACTAGTGGTAAATGATCCAAGAGAGAGAGAGAGAGAGAGATTTTTGTTACTGTTTCTAACTTTTGTTTATTACTCAACTAGCTAATGCCCGCGACTTTGCTCGAGTGATTTCTTTTCGTATTTCTAACTTTGAAAATGAAGAACTTGCATGTGCACTGTTCATAGTTTATTTACCCCCTCGGAGGTGTATTTCCAAAAAACCTTTTTTAGTGAGCGTAGCCCCAGCGTTTAAGGTTCTGTGTTGATAAATCAGTCAGTCAGTCAGGACAAGTAATTTTGTATGTACAGATAATATAAAAATTAAGATGGGGGAACTCCTAAGAATAGAATAATGCAATTCGTATTTCTAAGTCATTTTTTTCTTTTTTCAGTACAAAATCCCTAAAAAGGAGGAGATTGTGGAACAGCAGCAGGCCGAGCCTGACAACCCTCTCATGAGAAAGAAGAAAACTCCTGAAGAGCTAGCGGCCGAAGCAGAATTGGAAGACCAGGATGAGTTTACCAGTAAGTGTCACATTTCTACAGAATGTTATAGTTCTACTCAACTAATGGGTATGGTCTTATCTATGTCTAGTTCAAAATCCCAAAACTTCGTGCTTTTAATACATTTTTTTTTTATTATCATGATCGAAATAAAACTACAATTGTAAATTTTCCATTTAAATTTTATATTATTAAGAAATTAAGAATACGGAGCATCACCACCACCCCTGGGTATCGTAAGAGCCGACTAAGGGAGCAAATTACTCAAGACAACAGCACTGCAAAAAGAAGGAAAACTTGAAACAAACCCTATACCAACTAGTCATCGTGGTACAGTAGCCAAAACCTCCTTTCTAAGCAGAGGCCTTTGTCCAGCAGTAGACTATTAAAGGTTGTTGATGAAGAAATTTTATGTTTATAAAGTTATTGAATAGAACATACATATATAATTATCTCATTATTAAAATGTGTATCCATCCGTCATGTCATTTTGACTGACGAACCGATATGAACTAAACTTAAATTATCAAATATTCAACCTGGTCTTTCTGTATTTGATTTGGTCTGGGTATTACTATGTATAATAAGTATGTATTTACAAAAAAAGTATATATGTATTTATATCAGTTGTCTGGTAGCCGTAGTACAAGCTCTGCTTAGTTTGGAACAAGATGGCGTTGTGTGTATATAGTAGAGTATTATCAATTATGGCAGGTAATTCATACCTTATTGGGTACTTCCCCTAAGCTTAGACTTTAATGAGACTATATTTATTTACGGTTCCCTCAATCATGTGTACACAACCAAAAAGTCCCATCTTTGTCGGCTCAACTCATATTTAAAGTTCGAGTATTTTACATGACGTGCGTGCATCTTGAATTTAGTATACTAACGTAAATACTTAATTAGTATGAAAAGTAAAGTATAAAGTAAAAAGTAAAGAAAGTATAGTATGGCTTAGTATGAAAACCAGCTAAGTACAAGCAGCTTAGTTTTTAGTTATAACATTTAGTTTATACCTAACAGAGTTCTTAAAAAATTAAGTTAGGGTAGATAAGTAGGTAATTGCATTTTTGTATTTAAATGTTCATTGACTACATAAAGGTAAATCCTTATTATATACCCTAACTTTTACAACCAAAGCATTTAAGACTTACTAAAAATATAAGTACGCTTTAAATACTTAATTAGTCAAAACTAGGCTAACTGCAGTTAACTTTTGCAATAAACCTTCGATGTGTATGTATGGGAGAACTTTTACTGCAAATTTAATTGTTTTCAGTGTTAACCTAGCCCACTATTTAGTAATATATCTGTCAGACGCGCGATTCCTTCGATTAGAAATAGTCAAACTTTTTTGATATTCAAAAAAAAACAAACAATTACGGAGTTTCAATAAAAATTAATCAACGAAGATTATGATTAGGAATATATAATATACTACTACTACATATAATATTATAAGATCATTGATGTACACTTGGTTGGCAAATAAAGATTTGATTTGATTTGATTTGATTTATATCCTGGAACGCGAAAGTTTACACTTTAGTATTCTAAAAACGGATATTTTAAATGCATACCTATAATTATTAGTGTTTTATATATACTATCATCTCTCTGCAGTGCTGTTGTCCTGCGTAGTTTGCTCCCTTAGTCGCCTTTTACGACACCCACGGTATAAATAGGGGGGTGACTCTCTGTATTCTTAATCCGTCACCACACGGAGTCTGTCACCACACGGATATATACTTCTTTTAAAATATTTTATTAGTTATTATAACTGATGCGTACTATTTTTCCTCTCGTTTTCTTATAATCTGCAATTAGCCGGTAAAGCGGCACTTTTTGGTTTGATCATTGATCAAATCAAATAACGCAAGCTTTCAGACGACAAATGTTACATATTATAATAATATGTGACTGCTGTAGGGTTGGCACGTTTTATGTTTATAAATCGCACTTAATATTTAAAAGCAGTATAAGTTTACTAAAATACATAATTTTGTTATTTGTGTTCTTTTTTTTATTTTTGTTTTTTTTTTACTTTTAAGACCCAAAGTCATCTCACAAGTCCAAAGGGCCTCGACGCGGCAGTATGTATATCAAATTGTTTAGTTTTTGGTTGTGTGTGCTTTTATTAACAGGTGGCGGTCTTGTACACTAACAGGGAATGTCTTAAATTCTTATAATTCCTATAAATTAAAAAAACCCTAAAAGACCCATAACATAAAGCTAATACTTCGATATAACTACATAATCAACAACTGCTCATAATTATAATTATAACCAAACACGTTTTGTCGCTGACTGCACAGTATTTTTATTTAAGTCGAAAAATATTAAAATTTTCTGTACAGTCAGCAGCAAAATTTATTATAAAAAATTGAATATAAAAAACTCATAACATAGGAGCTCTAAACACAATTCAACATACAACATCGCTCACTACCACCAGTACAAAGTGCAGAACTTTTTTTTTCCTGTTGATGATAATTTTATTTAAACTACAATTAACTATTCAAATCAAGCTTCTTAACTAAATACACACTGTTTTACTAACGTGCGTAGGTTCACAGTCAGGTTTAAAATAAGTCGAGTATCCCCTATACTCGACTTATTTTAAACCTGACTGTAAACCTTTTTTAAAGGAATGAGGCATACTGAAGCGGGATTGTAGGGAGATGTTATACTACTAGTTTGGTCGGGTATTTTCAAAATACACACTTAGATAACCCCGTATAACCACACTACTAAGAATTTATACTAATTATCCTTTAAACTTGATTCTCTTTAAACTTTATTAATAATCATGATATTTTTGTTAAATTTCAGAACTGAAAAACACCATCGAATCGCAAGTGAATGAACTAAAGTCGCAGATCGAGAGCAAGTGCGTGATGCAGTGAGCATCGCACCATAGCACTACTTGAATACATGATGTAGCTGTGCTAAGTCATTGTTACGACGATGTTTCACAACCTGTACCCACCCCAACATCCCCCTCCTCCCACACATCACCCGAATAGAGAAAGAAAAACAATAAGACAAAAGAAATCCATTTCGTTCGGACAACGTATCATTCGCGCTCAAAATATGTAGGAGAGATTCGAATTCTAAATTTTTTCGGAACGTAGTTGGCTAGTGGCGCGTTGGTGCTTGATAATGAGCAATAATATTTTTATACATTCATAAAAAATTTTGGAGAGCAGCCCTCGATACAACTGAAGAGCGTTTCAGAACGTACGGTCAAAAAGTCATGGTCGTACCTGGGCAGCAGGAACGTCGACGAGTGTACCTAGCCGTTTTATATGTTGATGCTTGTGATATATTGTTATTTAAGTGTAAAGTTGAAATAATATAAATACAACTAGAACGAAACGGTGTAACTTATTTAAAGAAAGAGGGAAAATTGTATTATAAGAAAATGTTAGCACGCGTGTAGTTTTCGACAATTCGACTATATTGGCTTCTCTTCCTCTAGTTCGCACTTACATTGAAATAACAATGTATTCGTTCCCTATGTGTTTGTTTTCATCCAAATTCCAGGATTGCTCTGACCTACTCTTTCTCAGCGGTGACACTACCAGCTCGCTTGCGTTCTTCGCTCTTCATCTCGAACTTTTGCCTCTAAATCTTTTGCATGCGTGCTTATGCAGTGTAAATCTATGTGTCAGTGTAATTTTTTTTAGGTGTACATACCTGTAATCGACCTAGCCTTAATATCCACATCGAAAATATAATAGGTAATTGTTATGCTAACATGAGGGCAGGCAGAACTGTCGCTATGTTAGCCGTCGTTGTCCATTACTTTCTTGCATGTTAAATGTTAAGAGTCAATGTTCATTTAGTGTTAATGTGTAAAATGTTGTAGAGTAACAGGAACAATTCGCGTTGTGTTACCGATGCGCCGTGAAGCGTTGTTCTAATCTAATGTTTTATCGATGTTTTACGCTTAGGTATTAAAGTTAAATAAACACATTGTGGTGTGAACAAATTATTCGAGCGATTAAGCCACCTCGGATCGGATTAGTGATGGTAAATTGAATGAGACTATCGAGTAATAAATGAATAATCGACTAATATGTATCGTATACCAATACAACATGCAGGAAGGAAAGTGACATCTGTAGGAAGTGGTTGTAGTCTATCAAACCATTAAATGAGGACAATGGAATACCTGGTCGATGTGTACGTTATAGAGAGAAAGCTAACTGTGCTAATTGTTCGAACAATCTTGTCCACATAGTTATAAAGCTGCAAATGCAAAAGATTTGTTATCGTCAAAAGCTGTGATATATGAATATAATAAACTAAAGCAGCACGAATGCGTCGTACGCTCGTGTTCATAGCTTCTTCAATCTTCTACGTTCGACACGAAATCTATCATTCTACCTTCTATTAGATACCTATTCGGATTACAATTTCTGCAATCGGCACATCATGTATTTTAAATCATTTAATTAGTATGTACTTCTTCACACGCGATGCTTTTTGATCCATAGCAATAGAGTTAGCTAGTTATACAATTATTAAACAACACATACACATATGTTGTAGCTATCTTGTGTTGGATAAAGTGTATATCATTTTGGTTGAGTGTAAAGAATAAATACCGACACCCGTGCACCGAGTCTATAAGATCGTACTATGTACTTTCACATATAGGTAGCTAGGTTAATTTATTATAATTCTGTCATATTTAAATTTAGATACATAATACAGTTATTTAAGTCCAACAGAAAATAAGGACGCTAACGCCAAGTGATTAGTTAATCGATATCACATCACTAGTTAGTCGATTGTACGACAGCGAAGCGATGTATCGATTCCCAACAAAACGTATCGCGTGTCAAATACTCACTTACTTCGTATTTCACTTACACATTATTATAATATTATAATGCTTGCTTATTTTTTGTTAAAATCCAGGTCAATTAACCTAACTTCATTCCTCATCAATATATACTATTCAATATACAAAGATGTGTAAATAAAAAAGTAATAATTTCAGATTATTTATTGAGAATGCTTCTATTTTTCTGATGTATAAAAAACAATATTTTCTCGCACTGTACTGCACTCTATATTATATTTTCATAGCTTATTTCATAGCCACATTATTTGGAGCACGCATTGTTATAATCTAAGATGGGCATCACCTCTCTGGCCCTGTCCGGCCACTTCACCTAAATATAAGTCATAAAATATATAAAAAGTTCACAATGTATGTGTGGTTAGCTTAGGTAATAATTATGTAAACATAGATGTATCGTATGTGCATGGCAAATCTAGCTAAATGGTTGTACGTAGTCATTCAATACAATAATAGCGGTTAAGACTATTGGACCTGTCTAATGACCAAGTTTCGATCGAATCTGACTTTCCTTCCCCTTCTCTCGTGTGTTAGACTTATCTGTAACCTTTGTCTGTATCTTTATCGTAGTTTAGTCTGCGTTCGACGTTGTTGACTCTCAAGTAGGTAATAGTTTAGATGATTGTTATTTTGGTATAGCGCGATCTGTAAGGAACGGTGATCTTACTGTCACTAATTTAAAATTAACGGAACTTACATTCTCTACGCTGTCAATGGCACGCTGACAAATTGATTGACGTTAATGATTGAATTTATTAAAAATTGACGGTTCTACTCCCGTGTGTATTTCGGGGATTCCCAACGGTGTCAGGTGTCATGTAACATCGTGTCGGTGGGACGCTTGAATGTGGGCTCGTATCGGGTTGGGAAATATTCGGGCATTCCCGAATTTTACATATAAATAAAGCCGTAAATCTTTAATAAATATATTCACCACTCACAAAAGTTTTTATTCTAATATAGAATATACTTTCCAATAGTCGATTTCACTCGATTGTTCTCTGAAGTAATTTAGTAGCATCAATAATTTGTCGGTGTTATTCTATCTTGAACGGACAGTAAAGAGAATATGTAAATTCGAATATTACCTTAATATAAGTTGTGTCATTTCATGCATGATGGTGTGGACGAGTGTGGCAAGGCTCTTGGCGTGTTGGTGTCGTTTTCTCTTAATTCGTCTTGTTTCCGAGTTGTTTGTTAAATATTGATATATTTAGACGCTTCAATAAAGCAAAGATGTGTATGCTTTTGATGTTCAGTGTTTAGTGAATAGTGACAATGTTGCTTGTACGCGCGTATCAAAAGGAATTTGGGTGATATCAAATAGTTTTCTTATTTGTTTCATGTAAAAACATACTAATAAATATAATGGTGATTTGTTTTATGTAATTATTAATAAAATTTGTAAGTAAAACATCGATCTCTTCGCCCGACTTGTCTTTCAAATAGGTATTTGTTCTTCAGCAATGATATATATATGTACCTTTCTATAATATAGTGAATTTATGAAGAGGTTTATACAAGGTAGATGTGTAGTTTAGACTAAATTAATTGTAAAATCTACATATTTCGAAACGATATGATATACTTTCCGCGAGAATCCGCAGTGTTAATTTTAAGGATCCAATTGTCGCGACCAATTTTTTATAATTTTTGCCCAATGGAATATAATACAGACAGCAGTTGGATATTTTCAAATCTTATGACTATCGTACTCAGGGTATTATACTGTTTATAATTAGTTATTTGTTTATACGTTGATTCATTTAGACCATTTAGGTATGAAATGTATGACTTTTTGGCCTACGATGGCTTTTCTAAATTTTCCGTCTAACTTCTGATCTAAACGTAATCCTTCGAGCGAAAACTGTAGTACTTCTTGATATTTCACTGTTGTTCTTATATCCTTAGAGAGGTTATGAAACGGTAGACTAAAATACATTTTATGAAAAACTTGTTAAATTTTATTAAAGAAACTAGCCTATTGATATATGCACTAGGTATAATGTTAGGGGGTGACGGTCATGGTGATGCATTTGTTCCATATGCACAGGTACCTCTCTGTTGAAACATATATATGTAAAATGGTGTCTATGACTTTCACACTAATATTGTAGAAACGCATCACCGTTGACTAAACTATACTGTGAGAGACGATTGATGACCGTTTTACCATATAACAGAAGATACACAAGCTAGAAAACAAATGAAGGATAAGGGACACGTTAAAACAATCGTAATATTCAAGGAAAAAAACCATCCAACTTACAGTTACACTAAAAAAATACCACGATCAAAAAAATAGTAACTTTATCGACATTCACAATAAAATTCCTTGACACGTTAAAACTAAACGATAGGAGGTCGGTGATTCGATATAGGAATAGACAAATTAGAGACAACGACACTTATACCACACACTCGAGAGCTTTTACACTTAGAGACGCCAGTATTAATTTTTAAATTGAACTATTTTATTTAATTCGCGGACGGCGCAAAGACAACAGAACTGATTCTTAAGTGCCACAGTCTGCAATTGGAACTTTTTATTTTCATAAATTCTCTGCGCCGTCAGTGAAACTTTTCGATGTGATTATTAATACTTTACAAAAATATGTTATTGGAGCGCTAGGTGGAATAAATTTTACAGATACTGCCTCTTGATACGCCAATATTGTTGTGAACTCTTTTTAAATGGAGTTTATTTCATCTAGTGGGTTTATTGTTTGTATGTTATAGTTATTGGCCAACAACACATTAGTACGTTAGCTTTTAATATTAGTGACATTATAGTGTTAAAATTGCAAGTTTACAGAATGTAAAAAATCAAAAACCACTAAGTACTCATGTATGGACACGGTTCATATATTGTATTGTTATATTAAAGAAGAAAAGGTTAGTAGTTTATCCACGATAAATTTAAACTTAGGGATTATGGATGAATACCGAAAAAGGTTATTGTTGAAAAATGTTTTTAGGTAATATAAAAACGGATTGAGCTTCTGTGACACCTTGTTGTTAACAATAAGTTAGGTTTTTTTGCAGTAACGCGGCCAGTAGGGGTTGATCGATTCAGGTACATCGTTTACGCTTCGAGTCCTAACTACATCTATTCCGCTTTAACTAATGTTATAAAAAAAAAGCTTACCACTTGGTTGAATAAATGACACATTTATAATCCTGAAGCTAAGACAGACTCATTCCAAACAAACGTAATCATTTACGAGTACGTCGTCCAAATACAAATTTGCGCGAAGACAAGTACCACTGAATCGGTCGCACCGAGCCGCAGCTATCTTCTGAGCTGTACACAAACTGCCGTAATAAAACTCTTATCCTCTATATCTTAAGGTTAGTTTTCCTTTCACGACTGTATCACTGTAGTAAATAGAGAACGCTTTTTCGCTAACACTTCGTTCGCCATTACTGTTGCGAGGCATTGTTAATATTTATTTACAAGGTCCCTATTAGTTATTGTATAAAAGTTTAGAGATGGCCATTTTCATAGGTACGTTGACTTAAATGTGAAAATGGTTTATCTGACATGTTGTTAAATTATAAATAAACTACATTGTACCACTATTTGTTTGTTTTATTTATCTGTCATGGTTAGCTCACCATTGATAAATGGAGAAGTGCGAATGCATGTTTATTATCGATTACGCCAGAACGGCTTTACGGATCAAAAAATGAAATTTGGCACATAGGTTGTAGTCTGGAAAAATTATGGGCTATTTTTGCTCCTGCAAAATGGATTGAAATAATTTACATTACCGCATGCAAAGATCATTTTGTGAAGAAAAAAGGTGACGTCAAGAATACAAATTTATCCGGCTTTGTATTCGGCTGTAAGATATTATTTGCTTATGTTACGTAAGTTACCATTGAAATCGGTATAATTGAAACTTGATTGAACAAACATATAACAGGAATAAAGAACATATTATATACACAAAAAAGACACGAAACAAAATTTATCAAATTTTTAATCCAAATTGTATCAAAATCCTACATAATATTTTAAAAACATATAACATAACAATAATTACAATCCATGAATATAAATAGCATAACCTAAATTAGTATTCACTGTATTGTAATCTATCCTAACATGCTAAGGGCATCCCAAAACCTATTAAAATTCTTATTTAAATCTTCCAACACATTTACCATATTCCTCATAGTGGACTGTAGCAAACCCTTGCCAGTGTCTTCTACTTTAATAGTAGCAGAATCATCTGATAATTCGGTTTTAAGAACTATTACCTCAGGCGAGTCCGTTAGTTCTTCATCGGTTGTTTCTTGAGAGAAATCCTTCACCTCTTCCTGTATTTTCTTCAAAATTTGCCACAACTTTGCTTTTCTCTTCTTTTTCTCTTCAAAATCTATATCGTTTTCGAATGATAATTCTTCTACATCTTTGTCGATATGTCTTCGTCTTCTATTTTTAGACTCTAAAATATCAATATCTTTCGCAATTTCATTCTCAATAGAATGCTTGCCGCTGTAATCACCAATAATTACATTCAGTTTTTCAGAATCTTCTTGTATTCTCTGATTATTTTTTAAGTTACTTTTTGAAACATCGCCATTAAAATGCTCTAAGTTCTTTTTTGACATACTTGTTACATGTTTTGGTATTTTTCTCATATTTGTACGCTTTTTAGAAAATCTTTCATGCTTCTGTGTATCAAAATATCTCATTGGTGTTTTTAATGTTTTAACTCTGAAATGTTTAGAATGTCTTTTACTAACTCTATTATTCCTGTTTAATCTTCGCTTCACTTCTTTAAAACCTTTGTTTTTCAACACTTCAACGCTCTGTTTTGCTTTTTGCAGAATATTACTTAATAAACCTTTTGGGTCCAAATCAAAATTATTTCTATCGTTCAAGGGTCTAAATTTCGCCCTTTTTTCGTCTCTTTTGAATCTGCCTTTTGAATTGTGAAAACTACTCTGTATTTTGCCCAAGTCTCTATTTATATCAGCAATACGCTTTATCAAAGCTTTGTTATCGATGGATGATGTCTCTGTATCATCATAATCATAGAAAGGATTTGCTATATGATTGTAATCTTCAAAATCATCATCAACTGAGCGTTTTCCTCTTACACTTTCAGTAACAGACTGTTCATCAGAATTGGTATTATTAGAGTTGTCTATGTCTTGGCAGGCTTCTATTTTAGTGTTGGCGAGCACCCAGAATCCGAAAGATTTTGCCGGTAGAGTTATAAGAAGAGTTTTGAAAGGACGAACGCGTTTTACAACTGGCTTTATGTCGCCTTCATAATACATGGCACGTCCGTTGACGACTATGTTTCTGAAAGATAAGATGGCAAATATAAGCAAATGTAAAATTGATTTAGAAGAATAAATTATAGGCAGGATGGGTTCGATAGCTAAGTTAGAGGGTCATTGGTTAGATTCCAGCTCTGTTATAAGAGTGATCGAACACGAAGAATATACGCTGATCAATTTGGCGATGTTGTTACGCTCGTGAGGCATGCCAGGATTGTAGAAAGTTGAAGGTTACCTGTCTCTGCCTACTCTTAAGGAAAAAAATAGTCAGTTTTTGTAATATGTGTAAAAAGGTTGGTATATCTCACTTACCCACTGTGATCATGCCCAAGAATAAACTGCATTATATCACCCCCGTCCTCTCGTTTAGGCAGCTTGAGTGAAAACCTAGCAGGCTCATCATCCAAGTTCACTCCGAACAGTGTAACAGCACCTGGCACTCGTTTGTGCCGCAGCGATGTACAATGACCAAAGAGGATCGCCTGCTCAGGCACCATTTCCACATTAAGGACCCGTTCACCGACTAAGTTTTTGAAGAGAAGTGCCATATAAAAACTCTGTAAAGTAAGAAAAATTAAACCAATTGTATTGACTATGTATTGCCTATGTTCTTTATAAACTATCAAAAATACTAAGCCTAGAATCCGTACTAATGGCCTATCACGGTTACGCTGCATCAACACTGAGATATGGCGTAATATTCTGGGGCAATTCAGTTGATAGAGAACTTGTATTCAAAGCCCAAAAAAGATGTGTCAGAGCTATGTGTGGTCTAAAAAGCACCGACAGTTGTCGACCGTATTTCATACGTCTAAAAATTCTTACCTTGCCATCTCTGTACATATACGAAACAAATATGTTCGTGAAATCCAACATCTTATCATACAAACTAGCAACTAAAAGTTACTACAGAAAACTAGATAAAAATAAGTCGGAACTCCAAGTGACATATGGCAAAACTGCACTAATTAATAAAAGTACCTTCTGTATGGCCACCAAAATATTCAACAAATTACCTGAAAAAAATAAAACGCTAACTCTGGCCAATTTTAAAAGAGAAGTATTAAAAATCTTGATAAGTAAGTGCTATTACTCACTAAAGGACTATTTGGACGACAATTCTATAATTACTGCTTCAGAAAATTGTACAATACCTCGACTATCCTAATGATTTTGAATTGACATTAAATTAATTTGTTTGACATTTATGAAATTTGACTGTATTTTGTATTTATTTTGACATGCATGTGATTATTAATTATTATCATTGACGTTATTAATAATGTGGAAGTTTAAATAATCCTACAAATTTATGATATTTGGAAAAGTGTATATTTGAAAATGTGTAAAAATGTGTATATTTGTACGCCCCTGGGCAAAACATAGAGGACTTGCCTATCCATAACATCTCACACTCTATTGTAATTTGACCTATGTTTACAAATAAATGATTCTGATTCTGATTCTGATTGAGAGCTTGCATCTTACTCGACATTTATTCTACGACGAGCTGACCCTCGCTGCTTGATCTGCGTCCCTCAAAAGGATTAAATTTTCGCAGTTTTTGTTACATTTTTCATTTTCACCTATTGGTCGTAGCATATTGTCATATAGCTTACAGTCCATCTCTCAGTCCTCTATAATGGACTATCTAAAACTAAAGATTTTTTTAAATCGAACCAGTAGTTCCTGAGATTAGCGCGTTCAACCAAACAAACAAACTTCAAGTTACTTTTTAAATTTTACTGCTAAAGTTACTCTTAAAATATGAAAAAAATAATTAATCAAATGTTTTTTTTTTTTAATTTGACTAGTGGAACTAGCAGAGATTGCCGCGTTCAACCAAAATCGAATTACGTAAGAAGAAAAAATATAATATAAGATATAAAAACAGATATTGTAGTACCAGTGTAGGCTCGTATATCTCTTCTTCTTCCAACTCCCGATAATGGACAGAGAAGCCATTCTTTGCAGCATATCCCAAGCTACCTAGCCAATCAGCAGCTCTCTCTAATTGATTGTAATTTCTCTGGTTTCTTTCTGTTAACCATAGTGGTGTTCTGGAGTTTGCTAAATGTCGCAGCAGCTTCAGGCGGTTCAATTTCGTCATACGTTCCATTTCCTTGTACGAGGAGTTGCTGAAAAGGGGTGAAATTAATTGCAAAGATTACCTTACTACTGGAAGTTTATTCAATCACGCCAGAACGACTAAACGGATCTTTATGAAAGGAAAATGCCCTTCATGGTTTCACTTTTAGACGTTCGCGTCATTATTTCCAATGTTAAAAAAACTCTAACGTCAGTGTTACAATATTTTATCGTTGTATTTCAGATAATACTTTACGCATTCTTAATAATTCTACCACATTGACACAACGCCATCTAGTCCCAAACTAAGCAAAGCTTGTACTATAATAATAAATAATGCAGTATACATATTTGAAACGGCAAAAAAAATGATTTTTATACTGAAATGGGCATTCTCCTTTCGGCAGAGATAGCCTTTTTACTATTTTGTAATATAATAAGGGGGCAAACGAGCAAATGGTGACCCCTGATGGTACGTGACTACCACCGCCCATGGACACCTGCAATTCAAGAGATATAAACGCGTTGTCACTTTCGTGTTTAGCTAAGGAATTGGCAAAAGGCAAGGAAATAAATTTGACGATTTGCGCAAGATGGCTGGCAGGAGCTGGATGCGAGAAGCCCAAAATCGATCTAAGTGGCGTGCAATGGGAGAGGCCTATGTCCAGCAGTGGACTGCGATAGACTGATGATGAAGGAAAGAAATTGCCTAACACCAGTTTCTTGTGAGATTGTGGTATTTCGATTCGACGCACGATACCCAGGACAAAAGGGCATCTTCCATCCAGACCAAAAATATCGACGGGCCTGTTGGTCTAGTGGTTAGCGACACTGTCTACTAAACCAGAGATCGTGTGTTCGATTCTCACCCAGAATAAACAATTGTGTCATGCAGTCTGGTTACTATAGTACAGGCTCTGACAAGCTTGGAATTAGACGGCTGTGCGACATGTCAAATTGTAAAAAAAGTTTCCGAAGGATAGAAAAAAAATACTTGTACGATTTTTATGTCAAATTTACCCATTTAACAAGAGTGCATCCATCATATCAATGGACAAAACGACGTAATCCTTGAAGTCACTCTTGGAGTCGGCCTGCAGACACTTGGAGACGTCTCCACCCACCACCTTCCATTCCCCCATGCGGCCAGGCGGGAAGGTCTCGGTGATTACGCTCAGTGTCTCCAAATCATTCAGATATTCCTCGATGGATTGGTTTTTACATTCTGGAAGTAATAATAATTAATTTATTTGGTTATCAAGACTTTTTGAGAGTTTTTTTAAATGATAATGTACGAGTATAAGGGAATTCCTGTTCAACCAAGAGCTTTGCAATTATTTAACAAACAACTTAAAGTATGAGTACACCGTATAGGGATTAAACCCATAACATAGGTGTGAATCTTCTCCTTCTTCTCATCATCTTGATGAACCGAATCCGTGAAACAGAATTTTCCAACAATAAAAGATGTCAACTGATAGTATATCCATTTCCACTCTAAGGTAGTTAGTTACAAATGGGTAGCTAAATTATGACTTTTAATTAATCGGTCCAAAGTAGTCGGTCGCTAGTCGCTAGTCGTCCGCACTCTGCACTGTTTTTAGTCGCCTGAAGGCGCTGCGAGTCGACTCGCTCGAGACAGCGACGGCACGCTGCACGAGCCCTTAGTTATAATAATATATAATATACCTCACACATCTCACACACGGCCGTCTGATCCCAAACTAGGCAGAGCCTGTACTATGGTAACCAGACTGCTGATAAACATACTTAAATATTTTTAAATACATACATATCTAAATATATAAAAGAAAGTCTTGTTAGTTACACTATTTATAACCCAAGAACGGCTTAACCGATTTGGCTGAAAATTGGTGGGGAGGTAGCTTAGAACCAGAAGACGGACATAGGATACGTTTTGACATTTCTTTTTACTTTTTTTTTACAAAGTTGTGATCAGAGCGGATAAACGACCTTCTGGGATACACAAACGCACATTTAACGCTCCAACAATAGATGAAGTTGCCATCCTGATTGTTGGTGAAAACTTGGCAACACGCGATATTTTGCTTAGACGTCGTTGCCTCTAAGGCGGAACAAAGTTCGCCGGGTCAGCTAGTTATAGATAAATTACACCCAGACACAGAACAAATGACCATGCTCGTCACACAATATTTGTCTTGGGTGGGAATCGAAACCACGAACTCTGGCTTAGCAGTCTGGGTCACTAACCATGAGGCCAACAGACCCGTCAAATTATGTATTAATTATCTATTTGACACTGTCCGATTTCTGAGCTATTAGCGAAGATATTAGCGAAATTAGACTACTTAGCGTCATCTCCAAACACACTAATTCTATACTCAAGTAGGACGTCGTAACTTCGGGATACACTGAACCGTGTAATTGGAAACTCTTACCGTAACCTAACTCCCAAAATATATCGCCAACCTTCGCCTTTTCAGCAACTGTCAGTATGTTGAGTGCAGTGTTGGGATCCCACATGCCGGAAGCTGTTCTTTCCTCATTATTTAGTGCGAAGACCAAATCGAAACCAGTAGACTTTGCCCAGTGGATGAACTTTCTCCATTGTCTGCAATGTATGTAAAAATAGAACGTGTAACAAGAAAATTATCTAAATTATTATTTTTTTTAATTAAGGACGAAGGAGCCGACGTTTCACCTGATGGTAAGTGATTGGCGTTGCCCATGGACACCTGCAACTCTAGAGTCATAGAATGCATTGCCCTTGGCCCTCCTTAAGAATCATTGAGGAGGAGGTTTAGGATCAGTTAACCTCACTCACTCTGTCGAAAGCTACAAAAAAAATCTTAATACCGGCGAGGCCCCGGTGTCACTGCCTGTTTGTCAAAATTTTCGCCAATATTGGGAAGTGCTCCAATTATTGTGATGAATAGGGGTGGTGACACATGTACTTTATATCTGTCGCCACACGTCGAACTTATTTAGTTTATTTTCATTTAATACAATATTCTAGGAAGATTGGCCATCCTAGTGATAGACTTACCGATGTGTCACAGCTAGATTTACCGTCTTCATTTCTATAGGAACTTTCTTGGGGGTATCAGCATCTAACACCTCCACCTCAAGATCGTTTGCAGATAAATCAAAATCGATTTCATTAATCGATATGGTGGTGTTATGGAAACTCATATGGGATGTGGATGGGCCAGCTATTCGAATGAAAGCGGGGGTCAGTGATGAGGCCATGCAGACACATTCTTTGCTGGAAAATATGGAAAATAAAACAGACTATGCACCATTAAAAAAATCAGAATCGTCGCCTACTGGAAGCGATCGTAGACGGTTCAAGATGGTGGTTTTGGTGGATGGTTCTGTATTGATACGTTAATTGGCAACGCTAATTCTCTGAGCTAGGAAACCATTTTAAATATTCTCGACATTGCCTTTCTAAACCTCTCTGTTTTGATGCAGTGTGCAATATGTACGTCTTGGGTTCGATTCGCCATCATCAATCACCATACCTGATTGTCTGTTACATTAATTATTATTTCGCTGGTCATCAGAGTTCAGACAAAAGCTAACAGAGACGCAACAACATTAACGCTACGAGTATATACTCGTAATGAATGATAAGAGATCGTAATTCAGCCTTTATTAATTAAATTAATTATTGCAACAATTTCCAATTTGTTTATGTAAAACATTTTTTTTTAATCCTAGGAGCCATTTTCTCAAAGTATGTTAGGGTCTTATTTAAGTCTGCTACAATAAAGCTGAACAATTTTTACGCGGAGCGATTGTCCTCAGATACCACAACCCAAGTACTAGACGATATCGAAGTTCTGTAAAAAGACGTTGGGCTTTCCATGTCTCCAACAACCCGTAACGATTGCTGCAGATGTGTGTGTGGCAACCGGGACCGACGGCCTAACGTGCTCCCCGAGGCACGTGGGGGGTTCTCAAGGTGTTAAGAATGGTCACCCATCCACAGACTGTCCTGGCAAGGATTGCTTAACTTTTTAAAGGTTGCAATAATGCAGACCATTTACAGTTTACCTTTTAAGGTGAACGAACATTCGCTATATAGTAAACTGTAAGACCAAAAAAAAACCTGTCAGGAACGAGTCAAACGCCGTTCCGGTTCCGTACCTACCCAGATTTTACGTAGATTTTCGCGAAAATTTGTAAGTACCAAAATTTATTTTAATTTTCAACTTTTTTTATTTTTTGGAATTATTCCTTTATTTGTGCTGTGAGACGTTTCTTTTTGCCAAGTTTCGTGATTCTAGGTCAACGGAAACCACCATATAGGTTTTCGACCCAAAACCTATAGGGTACTTTCGGTTGACCTAGAATTGACAATTTTGGCTAAAAGCAAGGTCTTACAGTACAAGTAAAGAGAAAATTCTAAAAAATAAAAAGTTGAAAATTAAGGTAAATTTTGCTACTTACAAGGTTTCGCGAAAATCGAAATTTGCCCATATCTTTTTATTGTGTTGACTCAGGACCTTGATTTTTATACACCTCATAGGGACCATAGACCTCAATATCTGGTATAAATTTGAACTTGCTAGGTCTACCCGTTCCTGAGAAAATCGGTGGTGACACACGGACAGACGGACAAGAAAGTGATCTTATAGAAGTTCCTTTTTTACCTTTTGAGGTACGGAATCCTAAAAAGAAGCATCATTATCAACAGCCTTTATGGTTCACTCCTTAGAAAGGTTTTGGCCTACTACTACGCTGGCCAGACGGGATAGGGTTTGTGTCAAGTTTTCCTTCCCTTTGCAGTAATGTTGTCATGTGTTTACTCCCTTTATTCGGCTCTTACGACACCCACGGGATGAATATGGGTGGTGACACTTCGTATTTTTAATTCGACACCACACGGAACTGTCTTTATAAAGTTTACCCATCTCATAACTAATGGGAACACTGAAACTCAGAGCAGAATTAGTGTATCTGTCATAGCTATATTTGTTGTCAAAGAAAAGTCACAATGGAGAGTCATATAGGCTAGAACACAACATCTAAGACCCAATATTTATTAATAATATTAACACTCACCTATTATACTTCTCACTGGTTGAAAACAAATACTTAGGGTCTATTGTGAAGCTCAAAAACTTACTATCGACTAAATTCACATGTTGTTCCGCTAATAAACTGACGCTGTACGTGTTAGCACTAACCAGACGAACAGCACACAAACATATAATTATACACAAGTGTAATACAGTACCCATTTCATATTATTACGGTAAAATAGAAAATAATACGAGGCATAAACGAAACCCGCTTATATTGTCTCCGGTCGAGGAAGTGTTTATGTTGCTGTAATGTGGGAAATGCCTAACAATTAAAAGTGTCTGACATGGCTAGGTAAAAAAATTGGTGCATTCAGTAGATATTTTAATTCACAGACATTCACACACTCAATACACCAGTGTGTTGCTGGCTTGGAGGTTGGGCATCCTGGAAGCAAACTTACTCGGTTAAAAGCAAGGAAATAGTTGCTTACCAGCGATTTTCTATGAGACCATGGTAGATTTCACTCCAGTCGAGTTGGCCCATATATGTATGTTAAAGCATGCTACACCGTGCACGGTAAAAGTATAAATTTATAGACTACAAGTCCTAAGGTTTGGAAGACGTCAATACTCTTAAAATAAAATATCTTAATGCCTTTTCTCTCGATTCTTCTCTCGACAGTACTCAACCAATACAGTGCTTTATTTTTTATTCCTAAAACGTTGATTTTAAACTTAAAAACTTAATGTTTTACGTTATGGGTGTGAATTGCATAAGGCATTATGCGAAGCCAAATGTAATACCCGTCTTTAACGACGACTTCAATAGGCTATTTCGTAAGTGAAATCAATTTTGAGTTGGCTAAATAAGGGTGTAGTATAATGTGAGCAAAAGTATGTATGTGTTTATCTGTCTATTATGTGTGTATTGAAAACAATTAATATTTTTCAAAAGTCAAAAATAATAAGAAAATAACACTAAACGTATTATAAGCGGACAGAATAAACATCACACATCACATCAACAGCCTATAAAAGTCCACTGCTGGACATAAGCCTCTCCTTAAAAAGTAGGTTGTGGCCTACTATACCACGCTGGTCAGACGGGTTGGTATAGGGTACAGCAATATGGGGTGCCAAAGTACCTGAGGCGGCTAGTGGCAGACTATTTAGAGGAGCGTACCGTCGTGTACGAGGACCGAGAAGGTAATCTGAGGTGTCGGCCCATGTCGTGCGGTGTTCCACAGGGGTCTGTTCTTGGACCCCTCTTGTGGAACATAGGGTACGACTGGGTCCTTCGCGCCGATTTCCCCCCCGGGCTGGGTGTAATCTGTTACGCAGACGATACCCTGGTGACAGCCCGGGGGGCAAACTTCCAAGAGGCGGCGTGCCTGGCCACAGGGGGAGTCTCCCTGGTGGTCAGGCGCATTGAGGCGCCGGGCTTACGGGTGGCCCTAGATAAGACGGAGGCCCTGTTATTTCATGGGACCCGTCGTGGTCCACCCCCTGGCGCCTCAATCGTGGTCAACTCGGTCCTCGTACCGGTTCGGGCCCAGATGAAATATCTCGGCCTGATCCTCGACGGGAGGTGGCTCTTCGACGAGCACTTCCGACAGCTTGCTCCAAAGCTGGTCGGCGCTGCGTCTGCCCTAGGGCGACTTTTGCCCAATATGGGTGGACCAAGACGGCTGTACACGGGGGTTGTCCGGTCAATGGCACTGTACGGTGCACCGGTGTGGGCGGCGGCTCTGACCGCCCAGAATAGGGTACGCCTCTGGCGCCCTCAGAGGGTAATGGCGGTCAGAGCCATACGCGGTTACCGCACCGTTTCGACGGAGGTGGCATGCGCGCGTAGTACGCTCCATGGCCGGTAGCGACAGTTGTTTTACCGCGGTCGCAACCTTCTGCGAGGTAGTAATCTCGCGGAAGGAGGCGGCGGAGAGGGCCCGGGAGGACGACCTCCACTCGGACCCGATCCGCCGCCGGCGAACCGGGCGGCGGAGGCCCGCCTATCACAGCCTCATGCCGCCCTGAGTGTGGCCGCGGGTGGACGGGGTGGGTTTCCCCTCCACCCGCATTAGTTTGGCCAGCCGCGAGGGGGCGGCGTCCGCGTGTGCCGGACGTCGCCTAAAGAGAGGAAAAACATTGAGACGGAGCCCGCACCAGGAGCGGGCTGGCGCTAGGAGGGGTCCGGATGTCTTAACAACAGCTGTTCCCGGATCCCTCCTGTTACAGGCGCAGAGTGGCACACCGTGTGGTTTTAGTCGGTCCGAGTCCGACACACCACCCCGCCGCAAACCCCGGAGGGGTGACGGTCCGAGGGGATTTCCACAGGTTAAAAAAAAAAAAAAAAAAAAAAAAAAAAGGGTACAGCAATACAAATTAACTAATAAGAACCGTCTCTGTAAATACTAACAATGTCCGAATTCACGTTACGCACCGCAACACAAAACTGCTGACCAAAACTTAAATGAAACTGTAGAACTGCATTGTATGTAATATACTGCGTTGCACAATATTGTTGTGTTATTTATATTATGTCACGTTTGATATATAATTCTAAACGTAAAACAGTAAACAATAAAAATTTGTGGAAAATAACATTGCAGTATTCGTGTGTCTTGAATGCGTCTCAGCGGCCGGACCGACACCGGAATCAGAGTGCGTGCCCAAAATTGTCAGTTGCCTTTGTTTGACAATTCTGATACTCAAAGGCCGACAACACAATTAGGAATTTTTCTCCTAAGTAATAATAATACTAGTAATATAATAATAACTTCACACATATTCACCCTTTTTTTTCCGTGCGGAAATCCCCTCGGATACCACCTATCGGTGGCATGTCGGACGCGAACAGACTAAATCCGCACGCCGTCTCGGGTACTAACAGCCGGGGAACCAGGTATACCCTAGAAAGGAAGTCCCTGGTGCCCCGACATACACATATTCACCCTGCAGTTTGATCTTAAACTAGGCCTAGCCTGTACTATGGTAACCAGACTGATAAATATACTTACTTAAATATTTCTAAGTACATTCATATAATAGATAAATTCGTACTCATTACACAATTATTAGCTTAGCAGTCAGGGTCACGAACTACTAGACCAATAGGCCAGTCAAGTAGGGAAGAAAACGGCAGATGGGAATGCAACACCCAGATTCTGCCAAATGTTATTTTGTCCTACTAACATAACCGGCTTTCTAAGGAGAGGCCTATGTCCAGCAGTTAACTAGTAAAGGCTGTGGATGATGAATGAACATAACCGGACTCTGGAGACATTGGTAAGAATGCACTTGAAAGAAGAGAATTTCGGTTATTTGAATAGATGGATCAATTAGGAAGTGTTAGCAATAACTCGAAAGTTAGGATAGCATACTAAGGTACTCGAGCTGACCAGGCGCAAGGCTTCTAGTGATTCGGGGTTTGTAATAACATGATACCAAACCTGTTAGCCTGTTGTCGCTAAGAGCTAGTTTCGTATATCATACATTGATGCACGATTGTTCATTGACTGGTGTAACTTATCTATAATACTATGTATGTATTTAGAAATATATATTTTTTGTTTATCTGCTATTTGGTTATCATAGCAAACTGCGCTGTGTGAAGTTATTTTTATTATTACTAAAGATTACCTCAGTTTTGAATACGTAATGGGTTTTCTAAAATACAACAATCAATCATTACAATCTTTAATCTTTCCAAAAAAAATACATAAAAATATGTTTTAATCTCAATTGTAGAAGTCTTATGAAACGAAATGAAAACTGCCACAAGAAAAACGAATTAAAACTCAGATAAGATAGTATTTGACGTCATGTCCTTACTAGAAAGAAATCCTATTGTGGTCGATAGTTATGATTGATAAATTCATGTTTTGATTGTTTGTATTTTTATTTCAGTTACCAACTTAACTTGCACTGTCACTGTATGGACTTTCCGTACTTTATACAAGTCAATAATTGGACACGTGTTCTTGCGTTTATAAATATTTATACATATTTTTACATACACACATGTGTATACATCTTTTTAGGGTTCCGTACCTCAAAAGAAAATAAATGGAACCCTTATAGGACTTTGTTGTACGTCCGTCTGTCTGTCTGTGTGTCCGTCAAGACCCTTTATCTCCGGATCCGTGGAGGTATCGAGTTGAAATTAAAACCATATACTCAGGTCTACAGTCCCTTGAAGGTGTTAAAAAATCAAACTTATAAGTTAACGTGAAAATAAGATACGGCCGTTTATGTCGCAAAAAACGCATATTTCGACCCTCAAGTAATCATAATTCATAGGGTACTTCCCATTGACTTAGAACTATGAAATTTGGCAAGTAACATCGTCTTATACTACAATAAACACAATTTAAGTAATTATAGGTTTTGGAAAGTGAAATTAGGGAAAAGCTCAAAAAAACAGGGACACTCGATTCTTTACCTATTTGTACACCTACAAATTATTTCTGTAGTATAGTCCTATCATAATAATAGGATAATTAATTACTCCACACTGACAACACATTAGTAGTATCTACATTGCACCCGTGCGAAGCCTATATAAATATAGCAAAATTGACTAGTTCATCTTTTTGATACTAGATGTCGCTGTACTAATAACATAATTTATAGGGTTCCGTACCCAAAGGGTAAAACGGGAGTATATTACTAAAACTCCGCTCTCCGTCCGTCTGTCTGTCTGTCTGTCCATCTGTCACCAATCTGTATCTTATAAACCGTGATTGTTAGACAGTTGAAATTTTCACAGGTGATGTATTATTGTGGCTGCTATAACAACAAATACTAGAAACAGAATAAAATAAATATTTGAGGGGGTGCTTCCATACAACAAACGTGATTTATTTACTCGTTTTTGCTCGATATTGATAACGGCAACAGATAGACGCTTAAAACATTCACAGAATATTATATATATTCACTTTAAAAATAAATAATTAAATTAAAATATAACAAATATTTAAGAGGGGCTTCCATACAACTAACGAGATTTTCTTGCGTTTGGTACGGAACTCTTCGGGCGCCAGTGTGACCATAGTCCATCAACGTCGTGCGCGACCGTCCTGCAGGGTGACAGACGGTGGCGGGGGCGAGGTTGCCGGGTTATAGCACTTGGCCGGTTTTTTAAGTCGTAATTACGATGTTCCAGTTAATACAAACGTTAATATTAACGTGTAATATTTTAAAATCTGACTTGATATGTTTTTAATTAGCGTGTCGCATTTCCCTAAAATAAGACACGCTGCTCGAAAATATCTCAAGTTACATTTCAAACACTTATCACTTGCAACTGAAATTAGATGCTTTCCTGTCACGCGACGCCGTGACGGGCCTGTTCGTCTAGCGGTTGGTGACCTGACTGTTGAGACGGAGGTATTGAGTTCGATTGTCACCCAGGGCAAATAATTGTGTAATGAGGACGATCATTATCGTACAGTATCTAGATGTAATTTATCTATTTGTTTGTTTGTTTGGTTGAACGCGCTAATCTCAGAAACTACTGGTCCGATCTGAAAAGTTATTTCAGTGTTAGATAGCTCATTTATCGAGGAAGACTATAGGCCATATACCATCACGCTACGACCAATAAGAGCAGAGTATCAATTAAAAATGTTGCAAAAACGGGGGAAAATTATTCTCTACTGAGAGCTTCCGTTGCGTACGATGCGTAAACACTTAAAGTTTCTCAAAAACCATGTATGACAGAATTGTTCTCCTTTAAAAGATCTCAAAAAAAAGTCCGCCACGGCATATGTCTATCTTTTAAGGTTGGCTCACTATAACTGTTTTTATGGTAATCAAATTTGTTCTAAAACATTTATCGATGTCCAAATGAATTCATTATTCATAAGATTTGCCTTTATATCATTTTGATTTCAATAAATATCTTAGGAAAGATCAGTAGGATCAGTTAGCGCTTGGTTAGCTCCCTACGGAACGGTTGTGTTCAGCGAACTACTTTTCTAATTTGTTTCTGCGATATATCATCGTATAATACTTTTTAAATAAATAAGTTAGTAATAACTTTTAAGTTAGTTATTTTTGTTAATTTCAATATCATTCCTTAAATAAGTAAGTAAATAGGTACCTACTTAGAAGCTACTACTACTTAGAAGCCCCTATGTTAAATTGTAAGTCAATTTAACATAGGGGCGTCTAAGTAGATAATCATAAAATTTAATTTTGTAGTAGGTACTTAATTTTCATTAGGGTGTTATTTTCTATTTTGGAGTAATTTTTTATTTAATTCTTTTAAAGTGGATTTGCGATATCTCATCTTAAGTATAACAAATACTTTTTAAATAAATATTTTAGTAAGAAGTTGTGACTTTGTATTTGCAAAACGGGTCAAATATTCCTTTTGAGAGACGCAGGCGAAGTTGAGCGGATCAGCTAAAATACGTACGTAACCTGATTAAAATTGTTTCAAACAATTCAAAGTTGCATAATACCTACTGATCGCAATAACTCTGAGATAAAAACTAAAAATCATGGACTTCAAAAACTTATAGGTTAGAATGCAATTATTCTATAATTCAAATAGTCTATTCAATTTATCTATTGTCTGGAAATAAATACCTTTTCTAACTTTTGCCTTTTTTTCTGGCCAGCGTGGTGTAGTAGGCCAAAACCTCCTTTCTAAGGAGAGTCCTAGTCCTATGTCCAGCAGTGGACTACTAAAGGCTGTTGGTGCGATGTGATGTGTATAGAATTTAACAGCTGTTTTAATCTCTAAGGCGAACCCTTAGGAAGAAATTATGTTATCCGGCACTAAACGAAGGTCAACGACAAAGCCCACCGGATTAGCAAGCTGAGGTGGCAGTGGGCTTTCCATATTAAGTGTGGTGTATGACAACCGTTGTGGTAAATGAGTTCTTGAGTGGAGATCGCGTCTCGGCAAATGTAATGTAGGACGCTCACGGGCCAGGTGGAGTGACGATTTGCGCAAGACGTCTGGCAAGAGCTGGATGCGAGAAGCCGAAAATCGATTGAAGTGGCGTGCAATAGGAGTGACCTATGTCCAGCAGTAGACTGCGACAGGCTGATGATGATGTTAGTCAGTAGTAGTCAGTCAAGTCTCCGTTTTTAGTTTGAAAATTTGTAGCGCAACTGTAAGTAAAAAATATATTTGTAGGTATTTATATAAAAAAGAGAGCATTTTCTTCTCGATGTTGTAATATTTTTTATATGGCAAATAAGAAATACTGCGATACTGAAGACTTGCAAGATTTAATCCAATTTATCAGAATCAATCGAATCAAAGCTGTCTGCATAGCTTGGGCTCTCTAGATATGCCTTTCTGTAGCAATACCAGACTTATAAACGTTTGAAAAATCTACCTTTTGCTACCTATACTTTTGGATGTTATTTTGCTTAATTAAAGATCAATAAATGAAAGCATTTTTATAGGGCCCCAAATGAGAGTCAGAGGCAGGAGTGATAGTGATGATTTTTATTACAACCAGTTTTGTACTTTCATTTATTTATTTCTAAATGACTGAATTTGAAAATCAATTAAATTTTAAAAAAAGTTATGAAATAAAAGCATTTCTAAAAACTTATTAAGAGTTCTATCGCGTACAAATAATTCAATTACAATTCGAATAACATTACAATCTACCAATTTGAAAAAAAAGTTGGTGGCAACACTTACTGTCATTTTATACCGATACTGACGTCTTGCTCTTGCCATTGGCATGGCTGATTTATGTCATCATTAGTCACTCGACGATGTATCTGTTATTTATCTGGAAATATTTTAGCCAAACACAAAATTATCATTGCAAACTGCTGTTGATAGTGACAATCGCTTTCGCTAATACCTAATAGTGATTACGTGCCAAGCATGGGATGTAATCGGATGTGAAATTTGTGTTTCTTAATTCCAATGTTTACTCTTGGGAGTGTTTATATTAATCAAAATGGATAACAGTGATGGTAAGAAGGAGGACCCGAGTGTTCAAAAGAAGGAAATATTGTCTAGTTTACAGAAAATTTGTTTAGTGTGCGGTGATAAGGCCCTAGGTTACAATTTCAACGCGATTTCGTGTGAGAGTTGCAAGGCGTTTTTCCGCCGTAACGCACTAACAAGCAAAGAGTTCAAATGTCCCTTCACGAACAACTGCGTGATTACTGTGGTCACAAGACGATTCTGTCAGAAATGTCGATTAGAAAAATGTTTGTCTATTGGAATGGATAAACAGTTTATAATGTCTGAGGATGATAAAGCTGAAAAAAGGAGGAAAATAGAAGAGAACAGAGCGAGGAAACGACAGTTAAGAGACTCGGATGACGCTGTATCCAGTTCGAAAAATCCAAAACGTGATGATGATTGTGATACCTCTTACAATAATGTGCCAACACATGATTCTGGTGTCCAATACGACAATTTGAGCACAACATGCAGCCCGAGTAGTACAACCGTACAGTCACCGTTGTCTAACAATGACTTAGATTCATCAATGCAGTCTCCCGGCTATCAATTCCCGCCAAATGTACCTCCTGTACATGAAACACATACAAATGATACACAATACTCCCCAAATAACCCACAGTACCTTAAACTTTACCCGATAGATGAGAAGTCAGTGATAAATCGGGCAATTTATCAACAAAGAATGATCTCGTCGCTAGAACCGTACAATGTGTACGATAATGTTGATAGCAACATGTATACAGATACTCCTAAGCAGAATTCAATAAGGTTTGTATTAGAATAATTAATTATAATAATCTGTGATAGAAGTTCATATAAATCTTTCTTTATATAATTCTATACATGTGTCCTGAATTGCATTTACAAAAAATTATGTGTATTTAGGTAGGTCTACAGATGTAAATGGGTGTTTATGTAGACCTCTGGATGATTGAGCTCACCAATAAATCATTGGTTAGTTTAAAAAAATTATAAATGCTTATTTTTTTATCAGTTCCAATAATTTTTTGTTGAGTTTAATTTGTGTTTTTTGGTGAAATAAAAGGGAAAATCCTTTTTAGCGTAAAACTCAGGTACTATCTTAAAAAAATCATTTAAAAGTAAAATTATCATAATTATAAATATATACAAAGACAAGACTTCCTGTAGGAGACATAAGCACCAAACTATGCAGGACAAGCACTGCAAAGAGAAGGAAACTTGAAACAAACCCTATACGAACCAGTGGGGCCAGGGTGGTATAGTAAGCCAAAATCTACTCTCTAATTCCAACAGTGGACTATTAAAGGATGATGATGATGATATGTCAGTGTATCAATATTGTACTGTCTGCCAGAAAATGCTGCTAGTGGTGACAATTGTCAGAATCAAACCGCCATTAATATTAATTAAAATAAATATGATTATTGTTGACATTGTAATCGACAGCGAGGTAAAAAAATCCGATGGCAAAATGGCTAATAATATTCCATAACGTACATCAAGGCACAATAGATTATTGTGACATCCTAATTCAATTGAGTTTGACTCGTCACTCTTAAATGGTTTCCAGACTAGTGGGCAGATACAACTTGAGTTACAATGTAGGACCCATGTTATTAACTGCTAGCTTTTATTTGCTGCTAGATATTTAAAAACGGTGCCTTAGTGGTGTAGTACGGTAAGGGATTCGTGTACGACTCCCGGACCAGATAAAATTTTATAGCATTTTCCAGAGAGGAAAAAAGCCTAAAGTACTCCTTATATAGACAGCCACCTGGTAGTAAAATATCATCAAAATCAGGCCAGCCGTTTTGAGTATTATCCAAAATAAACAGACAGACAAAAAATATATAAAATGGTTTCGTATCGTGCAAATAACCGTGTAAGCATGAAAATAACCCATAATTTTGACATTACAAACAGGCACTTCAAATTTTATTTATTTGTATAGATTATGACGCCTCTTTGTTACATACACCACGATATAAAGGCTTCAAAGAAAACCATTGTAAAGAAATTATTTCCTTGCTCTTTACAGAGTGAGTCAAAACCCCCCAACCCGCTAATTGGGTCTCAAAGTGCAGCAACGCACTTTGACTTACGATAAAAAATAGGTATTCATAACATCTTGTTAATCAAGATGACCCATTTATGAGTATCATGTCACAATTGAAGCTACTATTATGACGTACCGTCGCGCCGTTGACTGAAGGCTCCCGAAGGCTACGGAATAAAAATGCAGTGCTATCCAGATTTGTAGACTTTAAAAAATATATTCGTGAATACGTGATCAGGTGATTGAAACGTTAAATAAACGAGAAAAACGAGATTTTGAGAGAAAAACGAAACATGCATTTGACTGCACGTAGTGATTGAAGCGGTCGCCACGCCGCCTTCTACTGCGCCGAGTGTTCTGAGTTCAATCAATCCCCACATTGGACAACATTTTGTTGTTCTGAGTCTGGGTGTTCGTGGTGTCCCTTTGTAAACTGCTCCGCGACACAGGTCATAGCTCTACTGTTCCCACATTAGAGCTATGACCTGTGTCGCGGAGTTGTCTTTTTAGAAATTAAAACAAAATAAAATAAACGAGTTTTTTTATTTCAAATTATTACATATATACATCTTTATCCCTGAAGGGCTAGACAGCAGACCGCCTACATTTTGCCGACCAATGATATTTTAAGGAAGATACGTTATATTCATACTGCACTCACAAAATATCTGTTCCGTAACACTATACATACATCTATTAATGCATTAATATTCCTTTATCTTTATTTACGTTTTTTTCGTAATTTGTGCACTTTCAGAATACACAGGAAGGCGTTTTATGAATTTTCTCGAACTAATTTACGTGCGCTCGCTCGCAGTGGTCCTACTTAGGACCGTCGCGTTTTATGCTTCGTTGGCGTATCTACCTCTTGTTTGTATAGAATATAATTGTTTCCGATTAGAACTTTTGCCGACAACCGAGCACTTATGTCTAATTTATAAACACTTAGTGCATTTATAAATACATACATTCTTTCTCCGAGCCTTTTACCCAAACTAAGTTGGGGACTGCCATCAGAACTCCACAACCCAAGTACTGATATCGAAGTTTTGCAGAAAGACTGTTGTCACCCCTTTTTTATGGCTCCATCTACCCCAAACGATTGCCAAAGATATTCCGAGGCATGGATATTATAGATAAATGACACAGAACAAATGATAGCTCTCGTCACAGATCATTTCTTAACCTGGAATCGTACCTCCGATGTCTGGCTTAATAGCCAGAATCGCCAACCAGTAACAGGCGCGTCATAATCCCATAATAAACAGAAATAGTCTTAAAATTGGAGGATTATTAGGAATTAACTTACATTAATTGTCAGACACACACACACACACACACACACACACACACACACATAGCTCCAAGTTAAACGTTTGTAGTAAACTGCGATCTCTTCCTATAGTTTCATTTGAGATTTATAAAAGATTCTAATATTATTGCTACTGTTCTAATGTATAATCGTTTTTGTATTAATAGCCTCGATACAGGCTAAGCCTAGTGTGGCTATCATTGTTAAACAAATTCTGTAAATCTTTACTTTAAATAAAGTTATAATAAATAAAGATTAATTACTTTTTATCCGACTGCGCCAGTAGGAGGGTTATCTCTTTTGAGTGTATGTATATGTATATTTCTTTCTTTAGCACACTCTGTAGTCTAAATTAAACTGCTTAATAGATTTTGGCGTTTGTGTTGTCGTTAAATTCGTCTTAATTGTAAGAGTGACAATAGGTGTATGAAAATTATAAAATAAAAGCCCTACAAAAATATATACGTGCAACTTATATATTTCGGAACGATAAATGCTAGAAAAAAATATAGTTTGTGATAAGAGTACATATACAATACGATAGACGGTACGTAAACGATTTTCACGCAATCGGGTTTCATGTTTTTTCCAATAATTAGCTTGTACAATAATATTTTTATTATTTTTAAATTGTATTATTTTCTTAAATTCATATTAGATTAAGCTAATAATTGGTTTGAATCATCATCATCATCACGCATTTTACGTAAGCCTCTCCTTAAAAAAGAGGTTTTGGCCCACTATACCACGCTGGCCAGACGGGTTTGTTATATATAGGGTTTTTTTCAAATTTTCCTTCTTTTTGCAGTGCTGTTCTCCTGTGCAGTTTGTTACCTTAGTCGGCTCTTACGACACACACGGGATGAATAGGGGTGGTGACATTCCATATTCTTAATCCGTCACCACACGGATTGGTTTTAATATTATGATTCATTCGACAGATGAATTATATTAATAAGCATTTAGAATATAAATTGTGCCTATTAAAGTCAAAATGTAATGGTTGGTTATGTTAATATAATAGTTTTGTTAAACCAAATGTTTTAATTTGACCTTGAAAGGGTCTCATATTATAAGCCATGACTGTAAATTTCAGAGAAGAGTTGAGTGTAAAGAGAATTTTACAGTTGTCAAACCGCAACATGACGTAATTTACTTCACAATAAATTAGTTGGAAGGTACATACATACTTACCTTTTTTATCGTGTGGAAACCCCCACGATCACCTCAGGGCTCACGGTGAAGTGGTCGGAATCGACTTAGACCACACGGTGTTCAGTCCCATGTGGGTCTATTGCATGAAACTTAGGTAAGAACCCCGCCAGACCTTGGCCGCCATCAGCAGCCACACCAATGAGTGCAGAGGGCTTTGCCTTCCTTCCGGTTTAAAGAGGCGCGTGGAGAACGTTGCGCCACCGTCTCAGGCCTGTTTCCCCCAGGACTGTTACCCCCAGGCCAACGCTTACGAAAGCTGGAGATCATTCTGCGCTCTCTAGGGCATCCATGCCTACATATATTAAAATTACTCATCCATTCTCACACCACCAAAGTATTCAGTATAAAATAACTAACATCAGATTAATCAAATAGTAAAGAAGTTATGGTATCACACATAACTAAAAGAATACTGAACAATGTTTCTAAAGTCATAGTAACTTGACACACGCACGACCGGCTGATGCTTAATTAAGCAGAGCTTGTTCTAAAGTAACTATAGACCATTCGCGTTAAGAAAATAGTGACGCATCGATCATCTTGGAACCTGATTGGTCAGGTTGAGGGGCTTGATCGAAGCGTCAGAATTTTCTCAACGCGAATGGACCATAAACTGCTGACAAAAATACATAATTATACATTTCTAAATACTATATATATTATACACAAACAACACCCAGATACAACACATGATCCTGCTCATCCCAGAATTATTTCTCGTAATAAATGAACCAATAAATACCATGTTTAGAGTTCTATAATACGTAGGACGCCACGCCTTTTTCCTGGAATTAAGCCATTTTACTGAAGAAGCCCCTACAGGAAACCGCAGCAAAATATTTAGGTATAATGTGCTGTGTGCTTCTCATCAACTAAATTGACGAACTTGAAGCATCTTATACCTACTCTGTTTGCTAATCAGATCTCTCTAATCCACAGATCGCTACTCACGAACGGTGACAACTCGGTCCTAAACAAAGAGCCAACGTCTCGGCCGCAGCACGTTTGCGAAGAGATACCTTCCACCAGCAATAACCCTGACGCTAACAAAGCAAGAGACATACTGCTGGATGTCGAAAGGTAAGGCCTGGAAGGGAATGTATGAAAGGATGGAGTGATGTCCCTCCTTAGAAGATGGCTGTTACATATCAGGTTAGTGGTGGGTCATACTCATCAGAGCACAAATTTAGACGACAAACAGGTGACCTCTGTGACAGAGGCAGTGCACCCACTGACGTCAGAAGGGAAGGAAATAGAACTCCTGACGAGTTCTATTTCTCGATGCAAATATTTGTGTGCGTACATATACGCCTATTTGTATTGGTGTGGTTGGTTTACTGCTACTACACACCGTCCATGACTAATCATGGACGGTGTGTCGATATGCCGATAGGTAAATTCTCGTAATAATAATTCGGTCAAAATTCAGGTCTGATTTGCGAGACATGATGACATTTGTGAGATTAAAAGTAATTTTAATCTCACAAATGTCATCATGTCTCGCAAATTTGCTAAAACTTCAGATTGCTTAGTCATGAACTCATGATTCTCATAAACTGATGACTCATAAACATTAACACAACATATTTATTTCTGTCTCTATATTAAGGATAACTAAACTGTTTGATACGATAAGTGTATCGATATGCCGACCAGAGCCTCGATTCTGCTATTTCATGTTAACATAGAAGCTACTGTCATTCCATTAACACGCTATTGAGATGCCATTGACATCAGGCGAAATACCGGTATTCGACTAACATAAATTCACAGTGTCAAAAGACGGTGGATGTAGTGTAGTGTCAATGTCTCATCAATGGCGATATTAAGAACATAGCCCTATCTGATAAATTAAATATATAATTTAGTTACAAATTTAAAATATACCTTTTACCAAACTATTACAAAGACATCGACGATATATTTTGTATCAGTGGCAGTTCAGTGACAAGTCATTGGCAGGCCATTGGTCGTACATAGTTACTAGAATACGAAAAGTCCAAACTATTCCGACGACATTCCATCGACAGTCTATTGACACAATGTTAAAATAGTATATAACTGTAATTAATATAACTGTCCGTGTGGTGACGGATTAAGAATACGTATTGTCACCACCCCCATTCATCCCGTGGGTGTCGTAAGAGCCGACTAAGGGAGCAAACTACGCAGGACAACAACACTGCAAAGAGAAGGAAAACTTGACACAAACCCTATACCAACCCGTCTGGCCAGCGTGGTATAGTAAACCAAAACCTCCTTTTGTATGGAGAGGCCTATGTCCAGCAGTGGACTGTTAAAGGCTATTGATGATGATGATGATGATAAAATAGTAGAATTGGGGCCCTGTTGGAATACTTAAGCCTTTCAAAGGTATTTAATACATATAACGTGTTGGTTTAATTCACGTAGAAATTGTAGTGACAGTCATAGCTCGTCGCGAGAGTAGGCTATAGCCCGCCTTTGTGCGTTCATTAAGCACACTTCAGACTTGCCTAAACACAATACAACTTACTAAATAAACCATCTGTTATATCATTCACTGACTGCGAGAGGTCGTGGATTGGATTCCCATCAAGAACAAATATTATTTGATGAGCACGATCATTGTTCCTTTTCTGGGTGTTATCTATAATATATTTAGGTATTTAAGTATGTTTATCAGTAGTCTGGTTACTATAGCATAGCACAGGTTCTGTCTATTTTGGAATCAGATGGCCGAGTGTGAGATGTCTTAACATTTTTAATATATATTTTTTTAAAACAACCCGCACTAGTAATATATCATGTGTCGCGAGGGAATTTACAAACATTCAAGAAACGGACACAAAGAACAACCAGACTCAGAACAACAATTTGTGGATCACATAAAGTGCTGTCCTATGCGGCAATCGGACCAACAACACTCAGCGCTGCCGCTCCCGGCTTAACCACTACGCTATCCGTGCAGCCATAATTAAACGTTGCATGCTCAAATTTATAAAAAACACCTGCCAGTTTTATGGTGCATATAATTGATAAAAAGTAGTGTGTAAAGATGCGTCAGTATATTCAAGGGGAAAGTATCGATAATCTCTATGTATCAGATATCTGTTATCAGTGACATCGATAAAGCCCCACCTGTACAACATTTTTTTACCGCATACCTACATATTACTACTAGGTGGAAATCCCTTCCTGAACAATTTACAGAAGTACAATAGAATAATAAAAAATAGAGCCGTGGCGTGACGTCTGGCAGATGTGAAACATCGAAATTCTTTTGTACAAATAATGAGTCTAAAATCACTTTGATTAATCAGTGTGAGAGAGTCGTAATCAACAAGTCAAGTCAACGTGACAACGCGTCGTCACACCGCATCACATGTTACGTATACTATCACATAGCGTGGCGACGCATAATTTGTTTGATTGGTGATGATTACAATCAGTGCAGCAAGACAAATAATTGTGATGAGTACAATCTTTGTCTGTCTTGGTACGATTTATATCCATACAAATATTATAAATGCGAAAGTCTGTCTGTCTGTCACATCTTTACGCTCAAACCATTGAACCGATTTAAATCAAATTTAGTATGGAGATAGTCTGAGTCCTGGGAAAGGACAAAGGATAGTTTTTATCTCAGAAATCATCCTATAAGGGCATGAAAGGGGGCGGAAGTTTGTAGGGGAATCAATAACCACTAATTCGATTCAAATGAAACTTGGTATGGAGATAATAATAATAATATATCGCTTTAATGTACCCCAGGTATAAATATGCAATAATTAACTTAAATAAGGTTAGGCAAGTACAGATGGCCCCTTATGGCCTTATTGCTCAGAGGCAATCTCTTACAGGCAACCGTGGCATGGGCAGAAAACATGAAGGCGAAGAGGTATAGGGTAATGGCTGGTGTGTTAGGAAATCGATAAAAAGAGGCAATCAAAGTAGTATATATATAATATAATATTCTACCACATACACACAACGCCATCTAGTCCTAAACTAAGCAGAGCTTGTACTATGGGTACTAGACAACTGATATAAATACATATATACTTTTTTTTTGTAAATACATACATATTATGCATAGAAACACCCAGACCAAATCAAACATCAAATGTTCATGCACACAAATGTTTGACTTGAACGGGAATCGAACCCGCGACCTTTGGAATAGCAGTCCGTTATACAAACCACTACGCCATCCGGTCGTCTAATATATATGTATATATATAAATATAAAAGATAGTGATAGTTACACATAGTATAAAGTTTGTATAAAATTTCATTTTTGAGAAAGTACATAGACTACATTTTACCGCGATAACCGACAAACAAGCACGCGGAGCCACGGGCAAAAGCTAGTCTATAATATGTATGCATTTAGACGTAATATATAAGTATGTTTATCAGCAATCTGGTTGCCATGATAAATCTATTTAGTTCAGATCAGACGGATCTCACGTCGCCAGTTAAAAAAAACTGGTCTTACTATTATTATCCCAATTTAGTTCCGATTTGCAGTTTTATATTTTTTTATTATTGTATTGCTTATTTAACTATGACATAGAGTTCTTTATATTACGTGCGGAAAACACTGTCTCCTGCAACACAGTTTAAACTAGCGCAGGAGCCAGGGGATTCTCAATCATATGTATACCAACTTAAATGTCAATAAATTATTATTATTATTATTATTATTATTATATACTAGCTGACCCGCGCAACTTCGTCTGCGTCTCTCAAGTGTAATAAATTTTCTCCGTTTTTGAAACATTCTTCATTGGTGCTCCGCTCCTATTGCTCTTAGCGTGATGATATATAGCCTATAGCCTTCCTCGATAAATGGGCTATCTAACACTGAAAGAATTATTCAAATCGGACCAGTAGTTCCTGAGATTAGCGCGTTCAAACAAACAAACAAACAAACAAACAAACAAACTCTTCAGCTTTATAATATTAGTATAGATTTGAAATTAGCAATACCAAACAGTTAATTTCTACGTTGTAGCCTTGACAGGCGTACATATATATAAATTGATATCATATTTTTTAAATATGTGTTAAAACTTATCTGTACTAATGTAATAAATTAGTTTATTTCTCGGTTCAACGCTTATGTCTAGAACAATCAGACGTTTTCGATAAAAAAACTTTGCATTAATAGTCTAATTTGGTATATTCTTATGTTAATAAATATATTTCGCCTGAGTCATAAAATATATCATTTTAAAGTGAGTGCTACGTTATTAATTTAATTATTTTATTGTGTGGTGATTAAGAATACGGAATGTTACCACCCCTATTCATCCCGTGGGTGCCGACTAAGGGAGCAAACTACGCAGGACAATAGCACTGCAAAGAGAAGGAAAACTTGAAACAAACCCTATATCAACCCGTCTGGCCAGCGTGGTATAGTAGGCCAAAACCTCCTTTCTAAGGAGAGGCCTATGTCCAGCAGTGGAGTATTATAGGCTGTTGATGATGGTGATGATTGTTTAATATCTTTAAATCAACATTAAAACTAAACGATTTGACAATAGGTACTGCACGGGTGACGTAGTGGTTTAAGCGGTCGCCACGCCGCTTACTGCTACGCTGCGGGTTGTAGGTCCGAGCCCCACATGGGACGACACTTTGTGTGATCCACAAATGATTGTGCTGATCCTGGGTGTTCTTTGAGTCCGTGTCATGTATGTTTGTAAAGTTCCCCGCTTCACAGGATATATTCCAAATGCGGAAGATGTCTTTAAAAAAAATAGGTTCTTATGACTTAGTATTTCATGCAAAAGTGTATCGTTTTGAAGTTTAGTAAAAGATACTGATGTAAATTGACAGTCATCTACCCTATTCTCGCGTTATGTAAAGCTTATAACATCATGCTATGGGTCTTAGGAGCGAAGTAGTGACAATAAAACTGCTACTTATCATTCATAAAAAATACTTGACCTGACTGGTGCAGCTGGTGCTGGTGCGTTTGTGATGTTGCACCCACTAAAAAAAGGTTTCTGGCAATTTAACCCCAAAGGGGGTAAAATAATAAACGAAAGGTTGTATGGAAGTTCGTCTTTTTCGAAGTTAGAAATATCTAAATAATGAAATAAGAAATATATATATATATATATATATTCGAAATAAAAAATGAATCACACGAGCGAAGGCGTGCGCAATAGCTAGTGAAACATAAAGCAAGACCTAAACTAAACACTAAAACATTATTTGTTACTGTTATTGATAATATGATAAAAAAAGAATTTATACTTTACAAATGAATAATATTATGATATGTCCGTCTCGGCCGTCTGATCTCAAAATAGGCAGTGTGTGTGTTGTGGTAAACAGACTGCTGATAAACACACATTTATTTTTCATGGTATAAAATAAATATCGTTTTTTTATGTGTACGCTAAGATCTCAAACTAAGCAACGAATTTTAATGCGGTTTAGTAATAGACAGAGTGATTCAGTAGGAAGGTTTATATGTATAATATATGCATAATTATTATACTCGTAGTAGAGGAAATCCGATAATTTCAAAGATTTGCTGTAAAAAACATGTTTTTGTGTGATTAAAATGCAAACACTGGCTAAACCTTACAATATAGACCAAAATAATGTACTACGGAATTGTATATCTTAAAAAGATCTACAAAAAAATCTGCGATGGTATATGTCTATCCCCTTTTTTTTCCGTGCGGAAATCCCCTCGGATACCACCTGTCGGTGGCATGTCGGACTCGAACCGACTAAAACCGCACGCCGTCTCGGGTACTAATAGCCGGGGAACCAGGTATACCCTAGAAAGGAAGTCCCTGGTGCCCCGACATACCTCGGGTCATCTACAGACGAGTAGACGACCCCCCCCCCCCCCCCCGTGTGGGAACCCCATGTTCCCTGTGCTCCCTGGAAGCGAGCGCGCTTCGCAACGCGCTCGCATATGTCTATCCGCTAAGGTTAACCCACAGTAACCATTTTTATCTTTTAAATATTACAAAAAAAGGGTTATTTACGGCCTCAATTCTGCTATTTCATGTTCACGCCAAGCCACTGTCATACCACTGACAGGCTATTGAGATGCCATCGAGTGGCCATTGGCATCGGTATAAATATCGGTAGTCTACACTAACTCAGTGTTTTTACACTTGGTTCATCAGTGGTGATATCAAAAAGATTGCCATATTTGGAAAAATGAATAAATCATTTTCTCAAAAACTAATATATTTTCAAATTATAAGGAAATGATTTATTTATTTTTCTCATCTCATCATCATGCATCTCAATAGCGTGTCAAGCTCTGCTTAGTTTGAAACTAGATGGCGTTGTGTGTCATATCTCCAAAATATTATTATTAAATATTATAGATAAATTACACCCAGACACAGAAACGTTACGTCCGTGTGGTGACGGATTAAGAATACGGAATGTCACCACCCCTATTTATCCCTTGGGTGTCGTAAGAGCCGACTAAGGGAGCAAACTACGCAGAACAACAGCACTGCAAAGAGAAGGAAAACTTGAAACAAACCCTATATCAACCCGTCTGGCCAGCGTGGTATAGTAAGCCAAAACCTCCTTTCTAAAGAGAGGCCTATGTCCAGCAGTGGACTATTCTAGGCTGTTGATGATGATGATGAAGACACAGGAACAATGATCGTGCTCATCACAAAAAAATGTCCTGGGTGGGAATCAAAAACGACCTCCAGCTCAGCAGTAAGGGTCACTAACCACTATACCACCAGTCTCGTCAATGAATCAACTCACGACCCCTGTCAAGTAATATTTTTTTTAAATGAACTTTAGGTAATAATTTTTTCCTTATTCCACAGAATAGAACCAAACTCAATGGAGTCAATATTGTGTGAAGCTATCAAGTTGGAGTTTGAAGCATATTCATCTGTGAACGCATGCAGTGGATCATCGAGGGAGTTAAATGAGGTAGGTAACAAGATATTTATTTAAAAAAATGACAAAAAATACCCCGGTATTTCCGGACTGATACGACCTTCAAACCTTCAAGAAAAGAGCGTACTTCTTCCTCAAGGGCTGGCAACGCACTTGTGACTCTTGAGTTGCAGGCGCTCATATGCGGCGGTAGTCGCTTTCCATCAGGTGACCCAGCTGCTCGTTTTCCCCATTCATTAATTTTTTTTTTTTTAAACCGATTTAAACAATGTTTTTCTTACTTCGGAGAGTATTTTTCCCGTTTAGTTCCTTCTCAATTTAAAGAAGAAATATCAGCCATAAGAGTGGAAAATCACCTAAGGAATTAAGAATACAGTATATTTCATGACTTCATGATTTCTTTATTCTTCAGCATTAAAATCTGTAATAATGGACACAGGATTTATTCCTAATGTGGGAGTTGTCTTTTAAAAAAAAAAAAAAAAAAAAAAAAAACTGTTTCTAAAGTTAATTACAAACTTTATGAAACTAGAAAAAACCGGACAAGTGCGAGTCGGACTCGCCCACCGAGGGTCTCGTACAATTTTTTTTTTTTAAGAGACAACTCACCTCACTAGGAATAAATCCTGTGTCGCGGGGGACTTTACAAACATACATGAAACGGACACAAAGTACACCCAGACTCAGAACAACAATTTGTGGATCACACAAAGTGTTGTCCCATGTGGGGTTTGAACCCACAACACTCGGCGTAATAGGAAACGGCGTGACGACCGCTTAAACCACTACGCCATCCGTGCAGTCGTACTATACATCATGAAAATAATTAACAAATTGGGAAGTGCATAGTGGAAAGACCGCTTTAGTCTTTACTGTAAACTGTTCTGCGTACACTCTCTCTCTTACTAAAACTAGTGCAGAAAAATTTAAGACCACTTACCGCCCAAACAACTTTAATAGAAATAAAAGTTATCTGCATACCTGTTCAACAAATCATTCCGTTTAATAATTTGTTTATATATAATACTAGCTGAGACCTGCGGTGTTACCCGCGTTTGTTGTTATAACTGCTGGCAACGCCGCGGGGCGAAGCTAGTCTTCAAAAAGTAGCCTAAGTTACTCCTTATGTCATCAGCTATCTGCTAGTGAAAGTCCAGCCGTGCCAGAGATTACCCGGAACAAACAGACAGACAGACAAAAATTGTAAAAAATGTTATTTTGGCATATGTACCGTGTAAACATACATATGCATTTATTAAAAAGCGGTTATTTTAATATTACAAACAGACACTCCAATTTTATTTATTTGTATAGATAATAAGTTTTGTATCAAGATAAACACTAATTACCTGTTTACTCGAATGATTGAAAACATTGTTGTTTTCAACCTTTGACTGCATGGATAGCGTAGTGGTTTAAGCGGTCACCACGCCGCTTATTACTAAGCCGAGTGTTGTGGGTTCAAACCCCACATGGGACGACACTTTGTGTGATCCACGAATTGTTGTTCTAAGTCTGGGTGTTCTTTGTGTTCGTTTCATGTATGTTTGTAAACTTCTCCGCGACACAGGATATATTCCTAATGCGGGCGTTGTCTTTAAAAAAATTACCACTATCGTAATACGTGGAAAAGTAGTACGTGGAAAAGGAAAAACGCCAAATTATCCTAAACGAAATACCATTTTTTTTATTTATCTTGAGATTGCATTAAAGTGGTTATTTGTGTAATACGTCTATGGTCAACACCTCTGTACAGTGTGTAATGTACATTAACAAACTTTAGCGCCATCTAACGGAGTCACGCTGAACTACTAAGTAACTGCTAGTAATGTATCGCGATATGAAAAATTCTATAACAAATACAACTTCCCAACATCAACCGTTGGACCGCGGTCCGCCAGGCATTAATGTGCCAGGTGATTACCTTGCCTGGTCGAAGGACTCTGTGCTGGAGGGACATAACACCGGTTCTTAAACAGTAACAATAGTATAAATTAATTTTATGCCAAAATAGCGACCTCTGAAAACTTCTTTTTAGCTAACTGTCTTCAAATCATATCGTATAAACATCAAAATATCCACATAAATAAACATATGTTTAACAAACCGAATCAATCTCAGATGCTCTCAACTTATGTATATCTAAAAGGGGAATATAGCAGACAAATTTTAATAATATTTTTTTTTGCAAAATTTATGTTTTACATTTGAAGAGGGTAGTCGCAGATATAAGTGAGCTTAAGGTGACTAGAAGTAATAAAGTAAAATAACTTACAGGTCGAGCGCGCCAAGTTGAACGAGTTGATAGTGGCAAACAAAGCGCTGAACGCTCCCATCGACGATGATGTTTCACAATTAGTGGGGGACTCTGCCACGGTAGGTATTAAGGTATGTATTACAATATATATCAGTATATAATAGCTGTCTGCGTCTCACAAAACGAATACATTTTGCCCGTTTTCGCAATATTTTTTATTGACGCTCGACTCCTATTTGTCGTAGCGTGATGTTATATAGCCTACCTCAATAAATGGGCTATCCAACAGTAAAAAAAATTTACAATTCGAACTAGTAGTTCCTTAGATAAGCGCGTTTAACCTAACAAACAAACTTTTCAACTTTATAATGTTAGTGTAGATGTTACATTAAAACGTTTCAGGCCAGATAGCGTCCCTGTCATAGTAGCTTCACCAGCTACTGGTCGGATAGACCTATTTCCCTATCCGAAACTTGGGATAACTCTCACCTTAGCTCCCTTTTTATGGCCGTTTTCTATCTATCTTTTTTCATTAGTCCCGTCTAAAATGTTACCATTCCCAGCCAAACCCTTTTGCAATGTTGCGTTGCGCTGACCTCAAAAATAGATATGATTATTATGATGGACGGAAAGCAAAAGAAGTGTGTTGGTGTTCGGGTGCCGACGTTATTTTTAGACTAAGTAATAAATTTAAATAATTATTTATTCAAATAAACTTATGATAAATCTGGTTATATTATAAATATTAGGCTGATAATTGTCGATCAAAGCTATCTGAGATAAGATTTTTTCAACAAATTTGCGTCAAAGGCACCAGATAACAGTACACACTTCACGCGCGTGCTTTTAATTAGTCATTCTAACAATAAACCAGACGATACAATGAATGTCCCTGTAAATAAATACATACATTAAATAAATACATATATTTATTAGTTCTGGACTGTCCTGTCGTTCTAGTGGCTTGTTATTCTGACTGCTAAGTCAGACATCGTGTGTACTATTCCCACTCATTACAAATTGTTGTGTAATGAGCACTGTCATATGTCTATTCATCCCGTAGGTGTCGTAAGAGCCGACTAAGGGAGCAAACTACGCAGGACAACAGCACTGCAAAGAGAAGGAAAACTTGAAACAAATCCTATATCAACCCGTCTGGCCAGCGTGGTATAGTAGACCAAAACCTCCTTTCTAAGGAGAGGCCTATGTCCAGCAGTGGACTGTTATAGGCTGTTGATGATGATTTTTTCTGTATCTGGGTGTAGTTTATCTGTAATATGTATGTATTTAGATATATATAAGTACTATCTTTTTATTTTATTTTATATAAGTTATCGGGGTAAAAAGTAGCCTGTCCTAATCGCTGATAATGTAGCTTTCCATTAGTGAAAGAACTTTTTAAATCGGATTTTTGGTTTGGGCGTGAAACAAACAAACAAACTCACGTAAAGTATGGATGTTTATGAGTAGCCTGGTAGAATGATAAAAGCTGTGCCCAATTTTGCTTTCAGACGGTGTTTAAGAGGTGTCTAGTTATTATTTTTTTATCGCTTAACACGAAACGTGCTCCAGTGCTAAATGAATCTGGGTGAGAGGAGCTGTGATTATCTAAAAAGGGATGGAAGTAAAGTATATAAAACAAAAGAGGGTACTCCTTCCTAAAAGGCCGGTAACGCGTGTGCTTCTGAGTTGCAGACGTTCATGGGCGGCGATGGTCACTTTCCATCAGGTGACCCGTCTGATCCTCTGCCCCCTTTAACATAAATATATATATATATATATATAATCTCATTACAATCAACGTTGGATGTTTAATACTTTACTACGAAAATACCTTTCATAAAAATTCGGGATTAAATCGGAACTGAATTTTGAACGAATTTTTAAAACGAAAATAGACTTTTAGAGCATATTTTCTGATGATACATCCTATTTCAGGATGGGCAGAACAAGCACGACCCCCGGTTAATAACGATAGTGAATCTAACAGCGGTGGCGATACGGAGGTTCATCAAAATGGCGAAGAAGATCAACGCGTTCAAGAACATGTGCGAGGCAGATCAGGTTAGTAAAGCAGCTAAAGATATACCTCCTCCTTCCTTCCATAGGGTAAGTAAGGGAAACGTAGGGTTATGTGTTTATTAGCCGTCATGGGCGTAGAATAATGTCGGTTTTAAAAAAAATACGAAATTCAGTTTTTACCACATTTGGATACTACATTGTCCAAATATTATTACAACATTCAAGAAAAAGTTATAAGTATTTTTAATTTAAAATAGGGATCGTGTTTCATATAAGATAGCTATGTTTATGGGAATTGACGCGCTCACTACAGGTATTGTGTCCACGACCAGTGCAACTCGGTCGAAACGTCAGCCGTTTTAGATGTTATGTTCTTAATACTACACACGTAAACATAATTATATATATTTTGCTATGTTTTAATGTACAATGGAATTAAAAAGACTTAATTTAATAATAAGGGGATGTCTGGTGTCTGTCATGGTTTACCTTTGATGATGTTCAGGTGGCGCTACTCAAAGGAGGCTGTATAGAGATGATGGTGCTCAGGAGTACGATGACGTATGACGGACAACGAAACCAGTGGAAGGTAATATAACCTCGTGCAATTTACTAAATAAAAAATTGGCCAAGTGTCTGACCAATGGGTGCCCCCCCCAGATCCCGCACTGCCAGGAGCAGTTAGCCAGCATCCGCACGGACGTGCTGAAGCTGGCGAAGGGCAACATCTACCGCACGCACGAGTCGTTCATCCGCAGCTTCGACCCGCGCTGGCGCACGGACGAGCACGTCATCTTCATCATGTCCGCCATCTTGCTCTTCGCGCCCGACCGCGCGCGCGTCGTGCACAAGGACGTCATCAAACTCGAGCAGGTCCGTGCCGACCCTTCCCTGGTACTCACTCCACCCTGACACGCTGACCCGAAAAAACATCATCACACACATCACATCAACAGCCTTTACTAGTCCACTGCTGGACATAGGCCTCTGCTTAGAAAGGAGGTTTTGGCCTACTATACCACACTGGTATAGGGTTTGTTTCAAGTTTTCCTTCTCTCTGCTGTCCTGCGTAGTTTGCTCCCTTAGTTAGGGATAAATAGGGGTGGTTCCAAACATTCCGTATTCTTAATGCGTCACCACATGGACGGACATTATCTATACTCTAATACTGACTGTACCCTGACACGCTACGCTGTGACACATGAGGAACCAAACTGACCCTAAAAACGCTGGATAAAAACAATCCTTGAAACTGTTTGTACATTGTGTCAAAATTTGCCATCGATCCGTGTAGAGATTTTGAGTTTTTTAAGCTTACACAAACCAACTAGACATTTTTTATAAATATATATTACCATATTTTGCCCGCAGATATGCCTGCGTTTATGTCGGTTATCGCGGTAACAAGTTCCCAACTATCTCCATACTGAACTTCATCTTAACCCATCCACGTAGTTATTGATTACCCATACAAAGTTCCACCACCCTTTTCACCCCCTTAAAGGATGATTTTTGAGATTGTGATATCCTTTGTCTTTTCCCGGGTCTCAAGACTATCTCTATACCAAATTTAATCTAAATCGGTTCACCGGTTTAAGCGTGAAGAATTAACAGACAGACACACACTTTCGCATTCGTAAGATTAGTATGGATGAAGAGTTTGTTAGTTTGGTTAAACACACTAATATCTGGAACTACTGGTTCCAATTGAAAAAACCTTTTGGTGTTAGATAGCTCATTAATCAAGGAAGGCTATATAACATCACGCTACGACCAATGAAACTGAATATCAATGAAAAATGTTGCACAGACGGTGAAAATTTATTCCTTTTGAGAGATACTGATGAAATTGGGCGGGTCAACTTAATATATTATAAATAAGAAACACAAACGCGTTGCCACTCGTTGTCGAGTGACAATCAGAGAAAGTGCCTTGAGCTCTTCCCCCCCTCCCCTGAAACCCCTCTAAACCCCTCAGGTAACCTCACTCCATCGATTAAAAGCAACAAAAGAATTATTTATTCAATACATCAATTCAATACAATATATTTCCGTTACCGACACCTCTGTATATTAGTATATAAGTTTTCATATCTGTCGGCACTGGCGGATTGCCACTGTTGTTTACTGATAGCGTAGTGGTTTGTGTAATGGATTGCTATTCCAAAGGCCCGGGTTCAATTCCCGCTCAAGTCAAACATTTGTGTGGATGAACATTTAATGTTTGATTTGGTCTGAGTGTTTCTTTGTATAATATGTATGTATTTACAAAAAAAAGGATATATGTATTTACAAAAAAAAGTATATATGTATTTATATCAGTTGTCTAGTACCCATAGTACAAGCTCTGCTTAGTTCGGGACTAGATGGGAATATTATTATTATATTATTACTAACGCTAAACCATCATATTATCTTACAGAATTCTTACTACTACTTACTAAGGCGGTACCTAGAAAGTGTATACCCTGGCTGTGAGGCGAAATCCACCTTCTTGAAGCTCATCCAGAAGATTCTAGAACTGCGAAAGTTAGCCGAGGAGGTAACAGGAGTATACCTAGACGTAAACCCCATAGAACCATTGCTAATGGAGATATTCGATTTGAAACACCATGCCGCATGAATTCATATCTATGTGTGTGTTATTGTATTATAAGAGTTCTTTGTATGTGCGCGAGCCACAGGCCTAATGTCGTCTCGTATTTAAAAAGAGACATTCGTTGCACAGGTATATTAAATTTAAGATAAATGCCATCCGAAATTGTATTTAATTAATTTAATTATAAGAATCAAAATAGTTTATCGTTTATAGTTAGCACCTTCTGAGAGAATACTTTTTTAAAAATCGAATTATGTTAAATTAAAAAAAGGGTTTTCAGATCATTAATTTAAAATATTTATAAAAATCACGAATTTTAATGAAGAGAAAATATATTTTTTAATATAACTGTAACAAGTACACACTAGTCCAAATGGTAGAAAATGAAGCTTATAGATATTGGCAACACCAGTGGTGTCATTCGCGCGTATTACATTCTTTTTTAATACATAGACGTAGTACTCTACAATCTATGGTGCAGCGATTGTCATACTCTTTTAAATGTATCATAATTATTATTTATTTAGTCTTCCATTTTTAAACTCGTTACACTTTACACATATCATATAGATTTCGATGGCGATTAGACACTAGATGGCGCCACAAGAACAAAGGGCATGTTAATGTATGTCATCTGGAATAATGTCCTTGTTATATGCCAAATTAGTTATAATATCATATATATTTAAGGCTAAGGTCGATCTCTTACAAAACTAAACACATTACTTTTGTATCGTAATTGTACAGTCAGCAATAGAATGTTTATTGACTGCACGGATGGCGTAGTGGTTTAAGTGGTCGCCACGCCGCTCACAACTACACTGAGTGTTGTGGGTCCGATCCCCACTTGGGACGACTCTTTGTGTGATCCACAAATTGTTGTTCTGAGTTCTTTGTGTCCGTTTCATGTATGTTTGTAAAGTCTCCCACGACACAGGAGATATTTCTAATGCGGGCATCGTCTTTAAAAAAAAAACATCAAATTTATTTTTGCACCGAAATACGAGTATTGAGTTAACTTGGCAGACGTTGACAGTGGGATATAATTAGTATTTAATATGAGCAGTGCATGAAATAAACAATGTTTAATTACTTGCAACAATTATTTGGTTGTACCAAATATTCTTCAATTCTTCTTCGTCGACATGGGGTATGTGCTGTATTTAAAATAATTGTAAATATTGTGTTAACAATAATAGAACAGTAATACCTATTACAAGAGCGTTTATTCCCGTGCATATTCACAATAATAATGTCACTGACCGCGAAACTTCTAATGAAAAAAATAATCAAGCTACTTTTATTGTTGACTGTACATAGTCATAGCTTAAACGTTGTAAGTACAGTTAAGTGAATAAGTATTGGTGGTGCATAATTGTCGCTACATAACTTGAACATTAACGTCATTTTGTTACATTTATTATTTTTTTATTCACGATCATTTCTTTCGTAACTTTTTACCGACACGAATAATATGACGGCATATACGCACTTTTATTTATAATGGTATATGTATACCTAAGTATTATATTGCAGATATTAAGTATTTTCTTAAATATTGTATTTTTTTTATAGAAAAATCATTGACAGCCGATCTATAGTCACACCAAAATGTTACAGTTACCCGCAAGGTTATAAAAAAATATGTAAAATAAGTATAAAAAAACCTTCTTTCTAAGTCCAGCAGTGGACTATTAGAGGCTGTTGATGTTGATGATGATGATCAAAATGTAAAAATATTATGACAAATGACACATCGAAATTAAACTGCTTTCATACATAGTCTATTCATTAATCATTGGTCGTTAAAATTTAATATTGAAGGAACTATGATATTTGTTTTGCATATTAATATTTATGTTATACAAAAAAAAACAATACAAATGAACATATTATTGGATTGGAATATTAACACTCGGCGTCAATTCAAACCGCGAGATAGATTAAAAACCACCACCCCTATTCATCCCCAGGACAACAACACTGCACGGGAAACTTCAAAACAAACACTTTACCAGCGTGTTACTCGAATTCATTATTTCCGCGGTACAGTCGTCGTCAAATATGTATGCAGTAGTGATAATCGTTAGGTTTTATCTAATTTGCAATAAATCATGTACATATGTATTGTTAAGTAAGTATCGTATCTAATTATAATATTAAAAAGTGTGACTATGACACAAATGGTTGTGACTATGTGTCGGTTACAGAAATTCTATGTACAAACACGAGCTTCACACCCAAACCAAACAAAAAAAAACATTAATTTTTTTTATTTAACATTGCAAATGGTTACATAATATTTTCGTTTTGATTATATTGTCTGTTAATCTTCATTCAGTCACCATACTTTAATAGTTTACTCTATAATTCATATTGACTATTCAAGACACATTCATCATGTAGCTTGAGTAGTCCAAAGATAATTGATAAACATATTAAAGCCTACTGCCCCATATGTCTGCAATGCACTTTTAGATATACTTTTCAATGAAATATTAATAAAATGGATAATATATTATAACTGCACCTTTTTAATTTTTATTTCAATAGCACATTAGCTTGTCACTACAAATCCATTAAATATATTCTGTTACTATGTGCTTAAGTTAAAATATTTTTTTATTTCTACCTACATATGGGACAGTAATGGGGCTTATCTGGGTTAATGTTTACTTCTTATACACAAAAATAATTCTCATTCGTACAGAGAAATATAACTTTTATTGACTATGTTGCAGAGTATATATTTCTGATGTTATCACATCACGTTGAAATTCTGCAACATTTTTTTTTATTTATCATTTCAATTAGAAGAGTTGTAGAATAAAAAGTAAAAAGAGTCGTGTAGCAAATCTAAGAGTTTATTAGAAAATATTTCATCCTTAGTCTAATGTTGACAGGAAATAAAAGAAATATATAAATAATAAAAGTAATCCGGGATTAGGGAGGGATCGAAATGTAGGGAACAGAAAACCTGTACCTAATCGTATGTAGGTCTGATTTTATTTATAATACATTCGTTACTCTGCCCAAAAAGATTAATTTCAACGATAATGTTCATGTGAACATAAATGTAGTTATTTTGTTACGTATTACTTGGGTGACTAACTGAAATGCATTCAATGAATAATAAAACTGAATTAAATATGAAATACTATTTTGTAGTCAAAATTATAGTCTACAAAGTTGTAATCTAGGTTTCGTAACCAGTTACGATCGCATAGTAGTTTAATTGAATTGAGGTAATTAATACAAGATGAAATAAGTTTTTCCATGTAAATATGAAAATAAATTAGGTTACGAAACCGAAATTGTTTATGCATACAATCTTAGTGCAAAAATCATTATTATATTTTATTTAATGTATATATGTTATTCATATAAAAAAATAATAAATAAGTTTAAACATGTTGAAATTTAAAATGTATTTTAATTATTTGCTTTCATGTGTAAATAATTTATATTTATATAATTATTGTTAAGAAAAATTTATTTTTATATTGATGTTTAGTCACGCGGATATTGTAAGTGCAATAATTTATTTTAAGAAAAATAAATTATAGTTTGTTAATGTGGATATTTTATTTCAAGGTAAACCATGTAGGGTAATAGGATACCGAATGTTTTTAAAATTAGGCAGCGCTACCATAGCTAGACAAAACAGTATTAAGAAGGAAACATTAAATAGGTAATTAATAATAATGTTATGGAAAAAGAACTTAATCGAGTCAAAATTATTTTTAACGTTTCGAGTACCGAACGCACCACCACTAAGTTTAAACAACGTTTGCCTTTTTTATGGCGTAGGGGGCAAACAAGCAGACGGTTGACCTGACGGTAAGTGACTACCACCGTCTTTGGACACGAGCATTGCCACCTTTTGAATCCCTCTCCAAACCCGTCAGAATCAGGGGAGAACCATTTGGGATCCTGTATCTACACCCATTCTGTAAAACGCAAGGAAACAATTACTTAACAGCGGTTTACTGTAAGGTCGTGGTGTGACTCCGGCCGGACTCTGCCGAGGTACGGCTCTAGAAATAAAACGTATCTAACTGAACTTAATAATACTGTTTAGTACTCCAAGCGCCTGCGCGAATAACCTCGCGAATCCTGGACACTCCCTGGGTCACCTCACCATCCGTTGTCGAGGTTAGTGCTCAAGAGATCTACGCTCTCCGATGCCTATAGCATCTTCTGCAATGGGAACTTACTAATTTGTGATCTTATGTCTCCGTTTCTTTCGAACACCGTTTCTCGAAAGACGAGGTGACGGAATCTAATGCACAATTGAATGATCAGCCACTTAGCAACCTGGATGATTGACTGTCACTGATGAGCAACCTTGCGCCAAATAGAAGAACAAGTCTAGCTTTCGCGATTGTGCATCTTTTTCGGTATTTAATAATTAAGTACTGATGTCCCTCCATACGAAATATTATCATCATCATCATCAACAGCCTTCAAAAGTCCACTGCTGGACACAAGCCTCTCCTTAGAAAGGAGGTTTTGGCCTACTATACCACGCTGGCCAGACGGGTTGGTATAGGGTTGGTGACAAGTTTTCCTTCTTTTTGCAGTGCTGGTGTCCTGCGCTGTTTTGCGCCCTTAGTCGGCTCTTACGACACCCACGGAATGAATTGGGGTGGTGACATTCCGTATTCTTAATCCGTCACTACACGGACAACGAAATATTAGTTTGGTCTAAATAATTTTGAAAAGTAATAAAATTGACACCGATAAAACTTTTGAATAAAAATCCATCATACATATTCCAGAATTTATTTAATTAAATATAATAAGTAACATTGTTTCCTACTCAGAATTGACTAATACGGCATATACTAAAATAAAAGAACAAAACAATTGAAAAGAAAAACAAATTAACCTAAGACAAAGATTAAAAATATAACATTATTCTATGCCCAAAACTAACATTGGTAGGTATAATGTTTACTGAGGAGGTTGAATGAATACAGAAGCGCGCATAGTGTAGATATAGAAAGGTACGAGCATGATGCGTTGACGATAAGTTAATAAGTTGTGCCCTTATGATGCTAAAATTCAATTTCACGAATCATATTCTGCCTGTAAGACTTCTGGATACATCATATCATGGCGAACGTTTGAGCCTACCTATATCATGGTAGCATACTGCCTAGCCTACTATTATAACCTTTTCAACGACCACTTACTTCGCATCTTCAATACCTAAAGCTAGCTTCATTTCAATAGAATAATTCTCTTCTACTCTATCAAACTTTTCCTCTACTTTAGCGTTATCCTCACAAACTGTGATATCTACACAATCTTCGAATACATCATCAGTTGAGACGTTGACGATATCATCACTCAGAATAGATTCAAAGTTCTTGGAATCATTTAAATCATCATTTTCAAGAGATTCTTCAGGATCTTTGCCTTTTGGTTTAACAGTAGACCTACAAATAGGTGTACTGGTTTCTGCTGCTGCATTATCCGTAGTTACCATAGTCTCATTACTGGGAGCAAGATTATTCTTTACACCCGATTGGCCACTGGTTATCATCCTACCAGCGTTTTGTTCAGTCAGAGTATCTTCGAGGGTTGAGTTATGGCTCGGAATGAGGGTAGTCTCATGTTCATCAATAGTAGACGCAGGTTCTGTTACGAAGGAAGGAACGAATTCTCCCGCTCTCCATCTCTGTTCAGCAGCGTCCATGTGCACTTCCAAGATGCGAGAAACTTCTGGAAGCTAGGAAAAGAAAATTTTGGTTTGGAATTATTTCACGGCATGAGGATATCTACGGCTCCATTATAAAGGGATAGACTGTCTATGCAAAATTTCATTCTAACATCAAAAATAAAATATTGGTAAGCACTACCTATTATTCCAAAATATTGCACTAAAGCAGGGACTTTAAAAAAAAATAATATAACAGTAGGCAAGGCGGATCCTAAGCCTATCATTGCTAGCTTTTACTAAACCAAACATTGCATATGGCTGTGACCATTTGCAACATTTGAGATTGATCTTAAACTTACGGTATACTCATTCTCGAGCTGATCAGAGATGTGCTCGATGATGGCGTTGGTCCTGTTGTCTATATTCCCGGCGTGGCTGGTCATCATATCATATTGTCTGTATAACTCCCGCTCCTCGTACTGGAGGGTACGATCTAATATTTCAGAGGCTACATTCTGTTCTATGCGGGCGTTTTCTGCCATGTTAGAGACGTTTACACCTAAAAGAATTATTTTCAAAATTACGCTCATTTTGGAATCGTGAAGCACTGGCCCTAGCCCTAAACTGGACATAGTGGGATTATATTTCATTTCACAAAGAATGTCTTTCACTTTTAATTTAATCAAATAAATATTAAAATTACTAAACTTTTAACACGCTACTGTTATTTGGATTTCAGTGAAATGAATAAGTATCATTTCATTTACTCTTTATTGCACACAATAATATTACATAAGTGACAAGGCAATTTCATGTACAAAGGCGAGCTTAACCCAAACCTGATTTTTCTTCTAACGAACCCTTAGAGTGGATAGAGAATGGTAGTTCTAATAATTAAATAATTATACTAATAATTCTTTGAGGTTTATAACAGAGAATAAAATAAATATAGTCTTTTTTTCATACCTTGTGAAGGGAACCTATTGTCTTCATAGGAATTAATAGCGTTTATAATCGTCTGTTTAGCCTCACTTCGGTTCATGTCAAATGTTATATCGAAATCGCCGCGCGGATTCGAACGACTGGCGTCTACAAAATTACCATCGAAATAAGTTTCCTCATTTATATTTTACGTGTTGTAGTATAAATTGTATAAGTTTTTATATAGTATGATTTTTTTTAACTATTGTTGTATTCGTAGAGGTACTATCAATATCAAAATATTCGCTCATTTTCACCAAGCGAGTGAGTCTACTGGAGGCTCAAAAAGCAGCTTGGCATTTGGTGCTTCATCCACATACAACGAAAAACATACTTTAAAACCATCTAACGTAGACACACCGAACTACGGAGTCTACTTGTCCTACATCGCGCAATGAAAATTCTCGCGTAGATTTTACTTACATAATATGCAACATATACACAAGTTCATACATTATACACAACTTTCCGCCATCAATGATTGAGCCAAGGTTCTCCATTTGTATTAGAAGGACATAATACTCATTCCTCCACACTAATCAATACCGCAACCCCTAACGTACCAAAATATCATACCACTACATCATAAAGGTCAACAAACACTTTATAAACAAATTTACGTTTTGTACCATCAGAATAAGGTTCACCTGTAATGGTATGTGTATACGATCTTTCTGCAATGTGGTCATCATTTTTATCACCTGGATGTTCGTCATGCTTCTTTCCATCTCTATTTCCCTTAAATTCGTCTCCATGCTCTTTACGATTACGAGTCTCCTTAGTGGACGTCGCTCGCCTTTTAACCATTTCTTTTTGAGATGGTTTAGTAACAGCTGTTGCAGGTCTGTTACCAGCCCTTTTTGGAGCTTTAATTAACTCTTCAACTTTTTTATCTTCACTTGTATCAGTATCGGAATCAATATTGATTGATAATGTATCACTTGAAGATGCTAGAAGGAAAATATCCACTAAATATTTATTTAAATTAGTATTTGGCGCCTTTACTTAAGAAATCTATCCTACTGAAGCTCATGCTTGCTTTATAGTTTTTATAACTATGTCATCATCATCATCAATAATATCAATCATTACCTAAATCTATATACCTATCTAATTAGAACCATTCTTAATTTCAGAGAATACTTAATCATCAACGGTATTAACAAAACCGAGAATTTATTAAGCGAAATATGACCCGAAATCCTGCTCGTTGGTTTGTTCGTTCCTTTATCCTTTTTATATATATATCCTTTTAAAACAAAGAGAAAATTAAATGAGACTAAAAACTACATTACTACTACTACTACACAGTACTACAAACTCCTTAAAGTAAACATACAAGCGGTTTCAATCTTTTCCTCTCCGATTTCAAACTCTATATCTGGAACTGGTAACTGGTTAACGATGTTATTGGATAGTGATGTGAGCTCGCTGGTAGCTGGGTGATTGCTGACTGAAGACTGATCAGTGACAATGGAGTGATCAGCTTCAGGCATTTCAGCAATGCTCGGTGGTTGATCATTATTAGCCTGCTGGTCCTCGGTAGACGGTTGATCCACATACTCAAACAGCGTAGCGCCCGGTACGTAGGTCAACTTTATTTTTCTCTCGTCTAAAAAGTTAAAAGCATAAAAAACACTTTTAGAATAGATGTTTAAAATAGATGTTTTCTAAATATCTTTTGAGAGTTTAATTGCCATGTGACTGTAGATGGGCAAAGGGTTTAAACCCATTGGGTTAAAATTTGTATAAACTGGTTTTTTGGGAAGAAACGGATTTAAACATAAATAAAAATCCGAATGGCGGGTTTTTAACTATTATCACCCTAAAAACTGCTAATAAAAACCTTTTTTGGTTTTGTTTTTGGTCTATCACTTCGGGACAACAAATGTGTTAATTTTTGCCTTTTGGATAGATCACGTAGTACATTATAGAAGTTGTATTTTTGTTGGAAGGATTTCACCCGTTTCGACATTTTCAGTGTACCCAGTACCTTCATACGGTACGTACATATAAATTATTTATATTTTTACTTGCAAAATAAATATGCATAAACCAGTCATTTTCAGAATCGTCACAAACGACGAATTCTAATTCATATTTTCGTGATGTTATTATATTTTGAGATGACGCGTGGACCTCACTTTTATTAATGTAAATTCTGACCAGTGAACTTCCCAAAGAAGTCTCACTGACCTGTTTATCGGTGCTTATGCATTCATTTAATATATTTTTATTAGTTTAAGTAATATATGTCAATTAGGTATATGAAATTTATACGTTACGTTATTAATACGATTCCGTTTTAGCTTGAGCGCTAAATGCATGTTCTGTGGCTGCAGCAGTCCATGGTGCTGTCAAAATTCTCGATGCCACTTTATTTAATTTTGTGGAACTGCATATACCTTTCCACCACACAACTGGTTCAATTTCCCCCATTATCAACAGCCTCCAGCCTCAACTATACCACGCTGGCCAGACGGGTTGGTCTAGGGTTTGTGTCAAGTTCGATCTGTCGGACGCCCAATTCGGTTTCCGAGAGGGGCGTTCGACGATCGATGCCGTGATGCGCCTTAGGGCCGTGACCGAGGAGGCCGTGAGCTGCGGCGGGGTGGTGTTGGCGGTGTCCTTGGACATCGCCAACGCCTTCAATAGTCTGCCATTCAGCTGCATCAGGGAAGCGCTCCGCTACCACGGAGTGCCGGAGTACCTGAGGCGGCTGGTGGCAGACTATCTTGAGGAGCGAACCGTCATGTACGAGGACCGAGATGGCGTCTTGAGACGCAGGGCCATGTCGTGCGGTGTTCCGCAGGGGTCTGTCCTAGGACCTCTCCTGTGGAGCATCGGGTACGACTGGGCCCTACGAGGGCGTCTCCCCCCCGGGCTGGGTGTAATCTGCTACGCGGATGACACCTTGCTCACGGCCCGGGGGGCTAACTTCCAGGAGGCGGCGCGCCTGGCCGCCACGGGAGTTTCCCTGGTGGTCGGGCGCATTGAGGCGTTGGGTTTGCGAGTGGCCCTGGATAAGACGGAGGCCCTATTATTTCATGGGCCCCGTCGTGGTCCACCCGCCGGCGCCTCAATCGAGGTCGGCTCGGTCCTCGTACCGGTCCGGGCCCAGATGAGGTACCTGGGTCTGGTCCTAGACGGTAGGTGGCTCTTCGACGAGCACTTCCGACAGCTTGGTCCGAAGCTGGTGGACACTGCCTCCGCCCTAGGGCGACTTTTGCCCAATTTGGGCGGGGCCAGTGTTCCCACGAGGCGGCTGTACGCGGGGGTTGTCCGGTCCATGGCGCTTTATGGTGCACCGGTGTGGGTGGCGGCTCTGACCGCCTCGAATAGGGCGCGCCTCTGGCGCCCCCAGAGGATATTGGCGGTCAGAGCCATACGCGGATACCGCACGGTGTCCACCGAGGCGGCTTGCGCCTTGGCCGGAACACCCCCGTGGGATTTGGAGGCGGAAGTGCTCGCCGAAGTTTATCGGCGGGTGGCTGACTTCCGGGCGGAGAGCGGATTTCGCCCTCCGCCCGAAGACGTGCGCGAGTGGCGCGAAGCTGCTCGCCGAGCCACTATGGTGAGATGGTCGTTCCGGCTGGAGACTCCACGCGCTGGCTTCGCCGCCGTGGAGGCTCTCCAGCCGGTCATCGCCGAGTGGGCAGGGCGGCAGCACGGGACCCTTTCCTTCCGGCTGACGCAGGTGCTCTCCGGGCACGGTTGCTTCGGAAAGTACCTGTACTCGGTCGCTAGGAGGGAATCGAGTCCCGCCTGCCACCACTGCGACTGCGGTGAGGATTCGGCCCAGCACACGCTGGCGGTTTGCCCCGCATGGGCGACGCAGCGCCGGGCCCTCACTGCAGTCATCGGAGCGGATCTCTCGCTACCGGCCGTAATTCGCTCCATGGCCGGTAGCGACAGTTGTTTTACCGCGGTCGCAACCTTCTGCGAGGAGGTAATCTCGCAGAAGGAGGCGGCGGAGAAGGCCCGGGAGGACGACCTCCACTCGGACCTGATCCGCCGCCGGCGAACCGGGCGGCGGAGGCGCGCTCACCTGCGCCTCATGCCGCCCTGAGTGTGGCCGCGGGTGGACGGGATGGGTTCTCCCCTCCACCCGCATTAGTTGGCCAGCCGCGAGGGGGCGGCGTCCGCGTGTGCCGGACGCCGCCTAAAGAGAGGGTCCACTGAGACGGAGCCCGCTTTAGGAGCGGGCCGGCGCTGGGAGGGGTCCAGAAGGAGATAGCTACCTGGACCCCTCCTAAACTGGAAGCGCAAAGAGGGCACACCGTGTGGTTTTAGTCGGTTCGAGTCCGACACACCGCCCCGCCGAACGAGAGCCCCGGCGGGGTGACGGTCCGAGGGGATTTCCACACGTAAAAAAAAAAAAAAAAAAAAAAAGGGTTTGTGTCAAGTTTTCCTTCTCTCTGCAGTGCTGTTGTTCTGCGTAGTTTCTTCCCTTAGTCGGCTCTTACGACACCCACAGGGTGAATAGGGGTGGTGACACACCCCAGGCAACGCCAAACTAGTTTTTTGCTCCAGAAGCATTGTTTTACTTTATAATCCGTCTACTGCAGCCAGTTTCAGGTAACAAGAATTTAACAAATCGATATGAGAGTAGAAAAGAGTACCTTCATAGTAGTTTATTCGATGAAATTAACATTTATGGCTATTAAAAGAGTAAAATCAATAAACACCCGAATAGAAACCCTGTGGGAGGGAATAAATGGGTTTAAACCCGGTTTATACCTACTGAACGATTTATTGTGGTTGTTCAATACACCTCTGTCTATTCCTTTGGGGAAAGAGGGTTGGAAGGTATAAAAGGTATCTCATTACCTCCTTAATGCTCACCTACTGTCATCGAAAACCGCTAAAATGAGAAGCATAGTTTACCAGGTCTGTCGCCACGAGTAAGCTGGCTCAGTGCGATCCTATCGAATGCGTTGTCATGTCTATACGTGGTAGAACGACAAAGAGAAGAATTGCTTTCGTTAATCAGATGCGCTGGTGGACATTCTTCTTTTTCAGACTGCTCAATGCCCTCCCTATAGTACAGTTTCTGGGAAAAATATAATCAGATCAGCAAATTATTTACTCTGTTCTTTAAACCATCTCTGATAGATGTTAAAATCGGAAATAAAGTCAGAGTCGGGTGTGCGTGGAATATAGAAGGTGATTCTTCCAGTACCTTCACAAAATCATTGATTTAGTTACGAGTATATTTGTATAGTTCGTATATTCATCTCTCTTCGAAAACCGTAGAAGTAAAAATGATCCAGATTTGGTATTCTGAGTTATTAAAGATACTACGTATATGTTATACATTTCTTTCTGAGAAATCATACTTGTTATACATATTTCAACGAACTTTAAAGAGGTTTAACGCATGATTTGCAAACTAATCTGGCTCCCATGATACGTGTGATTAGAAGTGAATATTTAAAATAAAATCGAGTAGCAACTGGAAACACTTATACGCTAAAATCTTCTATGAATAGGCAAACTTCAATTAAGCAACTAAATCTCTTTTACCCAAGGATCAACGGCTGGTTCTCCGCGGTCAATCCGCGCTTGCCGTTCGACCTGCTCCCTATCCAACTCTGCAAATATTTCCAGATCTTCAGCGTTGGGTTCCAGGTCCAGATCTTCGTCCTTAACGTCCACCTTTTTTTTATTGTTCATGCGGGGCATAGAGTTTAAAGATATACCCTTATCATCACTTTTAACTGAAAAATATAATGGTTATATCAGTTTAGCGTCAACGTTCTAGAGTATTACGAAATAGGACTACTGCTACACCTTCACAGCCACTATTGTATTGGCCACACATTGGTAAAAGTACAATAATCGCCACCTAAACTAACGCAATATTTGTGTGATGTCAATACACTCTTCCAGGCAAAATTTGTACAAAGATATGTAACAAAGAATCGTACACATCTCAATTTTTTTTAGTTCTTGGTGAGATAAAATTATAACCCACAACCGGTGGTTAGTGACTTTGACGTCAATTCAATGAGTGAAACGAGATCACTAACCATCAGTTCAACAGACCAGACAATGATTTTAAGATTTCGGTTTAAGTCTCTAAAAACCATCTGAATTTTTCCCTAATGTTCAATCTTACTATATAAACAATTTTATTGAACTCAACAAATCATTATCAATATTTATCAATATTTATCCTAGGTGGGAATCGAATCCACCACTCCTGGCGCGGTAGTCGCTATCCATCAGGTGACCCTTCTGCTCGTTTGCCCCCATATATATATTCCATATAAAAAAAGATAAAAGCAGTAAAATAGCTTTACCAATTGTGTTTTTCTCTGCATTATTGTTTCTCGTAGAAGCTTTAATATCCTCATTGTTAACATTACTATCTCCTTTCTCTGTAGTTACTTTGCTGTCTTCTTCTTTCTCAGGCACTTTCTTTACGTCAGCCTCTCCCGACCCTTCAGTTAACGCCACCTCAGGATCTGCTGGGATTTCTTTTATTTTAATTTTCTTCGTGCTCTTTCTTTCCTTATTATTAGGTTTGGTAGTGACTGTCTTTTTATCAAGGTCTATAATGAGATTCCCATCGACTATTATACCCAGTTTCTCTTCATCTTCTACAGTATTGCTATTATTTTTTTCCGTTTCTGTAACAGTTTTCTCTACTATCTTGGATTTAGAACTACAAACATCTTCAACTAAAACTTTTTTGTCTTTTGACTCTGCAGATGTATCTTTGTTTGGTTCAATTATTTCTATTAAAGGTTTCGGTGCCACTGCTGGTGCTAGCTTTTCTTCATCGTTATCGACTTCTGCTTTTTTTTCCTTTCCTTTTTTTGTTTTCAATTCTGAAATAGTCAAATAATAAATATCTAGGAGACGAGTTATACATAATCTGTAAATTAAGATACGGTTAGAATTCCTTGTACGCATGTTGTACTAAGAAAACTTCGCGAACACAGATATGTCAAATTTATAACACAAAGTTTTAATTATTTAGTTTCTTTAAAATTGAGGCACCAGACGATCTCTTCTGTCAGGTTAATGTCTGAACTGCTATCATTAATAGCCTTACCTTCAGAACTCTTAGTAGACTGGTTGTGCGGTTGAGACCCAAATAGCAAGTTATTCATTGCTTGGAAGTCAGAAACAAAATCCCTGGAAGAGATAGAAGTGTCTTTACATTTGTTACGTATTTTTATTGCAAGATAATTCATAAATACTTAAAAAGAAGTAGTGACACCATTAGCTAAAGAGTTGCTCCGTTCTAACGTAGAATTCCAGTGGCTCTAGTCGCTGTTATTTTACCGAGTGAGTTAAAAAGCTTTATTAAACAGTATTATAGCTCGATATTGTACAGGGTACATCAAAATACGCAGTAATTAATGGACCAAAATTTGAGGCTCACTCAAGTTATCCTGCCTGCTATTGATCAAAAAGTCAAAAATATAATACTTACGAAGACTTACTGTCCGCAGGTAATGTACTCCTGAAGCCACACCAATAGTCTTCAGGTGAAGTCTGCTGTTGAGGCTCTTCCTTTATCTCCTGTACCAGTCGTTTACCCTGATCCTTTTGTGACCACTCTATGTTACTGGTGTCCGGTTCTAGAGTAGTAAAAAATAAGTTTGAGTCTACCTTTTTATACAACATATGACAGACAGAATTATAGAGCCCAACCCCCTTCGTTAGCCTCACTCTCACAATATTGAAAAATTAGTTGACACCAATGGTGTTGAGTGGTGTAGTCTTCCTATCATATGATAGAGAAAAGCTCGATGGTTCACTAGCAAATTCACGCAAACTCCAATAAAACAAAAGGTAAGCCTCAACCATATGCCTCAGACAGGGCGGCAGGTCGTTTCACCGCTCGATGAAACCTAACCTTAAACTAGTCAAGCTTCGTGAAATTGGGTGTAAACGTTTATCTGTAAAATAATTGAGGAATTGAGGAATTCGTCATGTTACTTACTATCATCGTTTGCATCGCTGCCATCATCACTACTCTCTTCACTAGTGGAATCTTCATTTTCAGATTGTGATAGAATATCTTCAGGCACTCCCCCTACATTCCTAGCCTTAGCTGTACCTTCAGTGTTTAGGTCATTCGTTTCCTTTTCTTTTAATTTCTCTTCTCCCAGATTTTCATCTTCCTAAATTAGTTAATACGAAAATATTAACATGTACCATAACCAGTTAGCGAATATTAAAGATTTGATGATATAGAAGAGAACCAAATAACAGAATGATGGCAAATAACCCTCAGTCATCTTTATCTATCCTGGATAGAAGCAGGGATGAGCACATGTGTATGCTTACCTTAGGGGGCAATCCTTGCGCGATTCGATCTTCTTTCTCCTGAGCTTCTCGCAGTGCCTTCTTCTGATCCCTCATCTTGATTAAGAAGCGGACACTTTGCATCACCTTCTCCTGGTCTTTCGCTATCCAACTAAGAATCAAAGATTTTAATTAAGTAAGTGTTGAAAACTTTTGGTCAAATTGAAGGGATCTGCTGATGAATTCACTATGCCACAGCTATTAGAAAAGCTGTATTTTCTTCTTATAGGGGCGCAACCGAGCAGATAGGTCATCTGACGGAAAGAGAATTAGCAGAGGAAATTGGACCTCTGGTAATTTCACTCACTCGGTTAAAAGCAACGACCGAATAGCTAATTCAAAGAATAAGCAGAGTAAGCTAAATTCTGCTTATTCTAAAAATTAGCTATTTAGCTGTCCCTTATAGATATTAAAGAGAGCTCAGGTATTTATATATACTTTAATATCTCGCTATATATGCTTTCTTTAATATCTATGAGGGACAGCTAAATATTTCATGTAAAATCAAAGCAAGTGGAAGTCCTTTGGAGCCCATAAATTAAAAAGAAGCAGCAATAGATATCATCACTAACCGTCTCCTTTCTGCAACCTCCTCTTGCACTCCACCCCTCTGCCATGCTTCGGCACAAGCCCTGTCTCTGTCGAAAACCGGTCTATTGTCCAAGTTCAAAAGCTCCTTCAGACGAAGCGTTAATGTTTTGCGATAGGCTGGTATATTGCGGACTACTGGGTTACCCGATAACACTAATACTGTAAAGTCGTGGTAAAAACATATTTAAATATAGGTACCCAAATATTTAACAATATTATTTGTATTATTATATACAGAAAGCTGCAAAGGAACGTAATGAAGAGAGGACTTACGTGAAGAGAATTCTTTACATGCAATAATATAAGAAAATATAAATCAAGCAAGTACGAATAATTAAAAAGATTTAAAGATTATGTACTTAATAGAAGAAGTGCAAAAAGTCAAAATTGTTCAAATTGTTTTATGGAAACGTCTGTAGCAAGCTACGCGTATCCAGTACATACGTGAACCTGTCCCGAGACGTAAGGCTTACAACGTACTTGCGGTTAGCCGTAATGCGGCAGCGTGCCATTGCGGCTCACCGCACATAGATTTTTATATAAAAACGCATTATGTCCGCCGTCCGTCTATCGAGCCAACTGCTCGAGCCTGCTACAGGCCGCTGCGCTTAAACAGTGCGGTTCAAGCCTAGACCACTACCACCACTACCTACAGTAACAGTCAAAGTTATTGGCCAATACCATAATATCGCCAATGCAGTATATCATGAATAAATCACGGAAACTTGACACAGGCAATTTTTGTTTTTTTTTTTTAAGATTACACAGCTAATTACATCGCCTTTAAACCTAAAAAATCTCTGAGAAAGAGACACTATAATTATCCTTCATCAACAGCCTTTAATAGTCCACTGCTGGATATTCGACTTTAGAAATGAGGTTTTGGCCTACTATACCACGATGACCACACGGGGTGGTATAATTATCCTTAACATTTAAAATTAATCCATAATGTTCTATAATTTTAGCAGTCTTCGTAAGGTAGGAAGTACAACAATTTTTTCGATTCTCAGACTTAGAAGCTGAGGTCCTTAATCAGTATACGTATGTTACCTTTCAAAACGAGCATATCCGCCAACACATCTACTATGAGTGGATCTTCAAGACGATTGTACGACAAGTCCAGCACGGATAAGTTTTTACATAATTTGAGATGAATTAGGTCATCTGTAACAGGAGAAAATATTATTATTTTTTATGTTAGAGGCGGCAGACGAGCAGACGGGACATCTGATCAATAATGACCATTGCCGCCCATGAACGTCTGCAACTCAGGAGTCACAAACGCGTTGCCGACCTTTAAGGAAGGAGTACGCTCTTTTCTTGAAGGTTTGAAGGTCGTATCGGTCCGGAAATACCGCAGACGATAACCCGTTCCACAGATTGGTCATGAGAGGCAAAAAGTGTCTTGAAAAACGCACAGTAGTAGTTAGCTGTTCTGGCGTGCCTCGCTATGATTACGTGATATTGAGTTTATTAAAGAATTGTTTAAACTTTTTTTAATTTTTTAGGTTCTATAATTAATAACCATAAGGATCCTAATTAGACTTGCAACGAATATTCGGTTACTATTCGGTATTCGGCCTATTCGGCTGCTTTTATTATATTCGGCCGAATACCGAATATCTACATATTATTCGGCCGAATACCGAATACTTAAATAATATATTTTGTCATTGAGAAATAATTGGTAAAATGAAAAATTAAAATCGATTGATTACGTATATATTCATATTTTCATTTCTGTTATAATCATTTAAGTAGTCATTGGTGCATAACACAGGTACATAATCATCTTCTGAATTGGAAAAATAGAGGATTTTATGTATTTGAATTATTGTGGTAATCAAAATTTAGAAGGATAAGGTTCTTATTTCTTTTATAATCATTTATTAAGTAGTCATTGGTACATAAAACAGGTACATAATTTAATTCACGTCTGTACAAGTTTTTGGCGCTAAAATCCAGCCGAATACTTTTGCCTAATATTCGGCTATTCGGTCAGGGGCCTCGCCGAATATTCGGTATTCGGTATACTGCCGAATATTCGGTATTCGGTATACTGCCGAATATACTATTCGTTGCAAGTCTAATCCTAATACATGAGGACACAAGTATAATCAAGAATAGAAATAGGCCGTTAAAAAAAGTTAAGAAGTCGGATCTTTTTGAGAAAGATTTTTAATGTGTTAATCCGTGATGTATCAGTAGCTAGCTTAGCTTAGCTATGGTCTACGAGTAAAAGTACACTCGTAATAATATCCAATCACGGTGCTTGTAGTTGCTTCTTAACGAAGCGTCTCGACCAATTTAAATTAATCTTCTTTGTATATTTGGTAATTAAGAGAATAGCTCGTAAAGTATTTTTTACCCTCCTACCCCTCCACCCCATTTCTTTTATCGTAATTTGAGTTTGGCAGAACAACGTACGGCGGGTCAGCTAGTATTCATCATCATCAGCCTATCGCAGTGCACTGCTGGACATGGGCCTCTCAAATTTATTTTAGGCTTCTCGCATCCAGCTCCTGCCAGCCATCTTGCGCAAATTAAATTACATGCTTAATATAGTTACTCACCGACAGTTGTAAGCATGTTATGAGCAATGCTGAGTGTGTGGAGAACAGGAGTAACATCTAAATTTTCTATCTTCGTTACAAAATTGTGGTCTAAATTCAAGGTATCCAATTTGGGACACCCATCTAGGTTCTCAATTTTCTTGACGACGTTATAATGCAAGTACAAGCATTTCAGGTTAGCTAAGGTGTCTAGGCCCTCGATTTTCTGAATGCCATTATTCTCCAGGAATATACATTTCAAACCTGTGTATTCTTCAAGATTTTCTATCTTTGAAAAGCCCTATAAAAATATACAAATTTAGGTGTGAACTGCACAATTGTTAAAATATATACAACTGAAAAGTATTTCCGTACTTACTTTAAAATGAAGATATAAGACATCATTTAGATAGGGTGTGCAGTATAACTTATGTTGCCGGCAATTGTTTCTAATGAATTCCTTCGTCATTCTGGGTGCCCTGTTCATTTCTTCCAACTCTCTCTCTACTTTTCTCTGAAATGCTCTCTGTTTAAGTTTTTCTGTAAGAGCGTCTTCTTTTTTCTTTTGTTCTTCCTCTTCCCGTTTTGTTTCTTCTGTTTTGCTATCTGAAATACATGCAAGTCTTATTTCTCAGGGTCAATGCAAAGTACGATTAATATATTACTCAAATCACCTTTTTCCGTCCTGTTTGCTGCGATTTTTTTCGGACCTAAATTATCGCCCTGGGCTTTCTCATCAACCTCCAGTAAAGGCACTTCCTCAATTTTACAAGAACCTTCTTTAGCTTTCCTTTTATTTTCTTCTCTTCTAAGCAAATTATTTGCTAGCCGCAAAACTTCCTTGTTGTTCTTCATTTTATCTTTTATATCCAATAAAAGGTTGTCTATCCTTTTATTTCGTTCACCCTCTTGATTTTTTAATTCTGCATTCCGTTTTTCTCTTTCTTCCTTTAAAGCATCGAAATCAATATCCCACAACTCTTTGCGCACTTTCTCACCCTTATTATCTTCCTGTTTATTGAGAGATTTCATTTCTACAGTGGTGTTAGTTTTGGATACAACTTTATTATCTTCCTGTTTATTTAAAGATTGCTTTTCTACAGGAATATCAACTTTGGATAAATCATCAACTGATGCTTTAGCAGGATGCAATATTTCCTTAGATTTTAATAAGATGCTGTCTACTTCGTTCATAAATGTTTTACATTCATCATTTCTTTGTTCATATAAAGCCTTGCTTTGATTAATACGTTTTTCATGGCCGCTTATTTCATGATTCAACTTTTTTATAGCTTCATTTATGTCATTAATCTGTGGATCGGAAGTACAAATCTCCATTGGTGTACTTTCCTCTAATTCTTTTACAGTTTCAGATATAGATTGTTTAACCATATTTCGCTTTAAATTTTCACCTTCTTCCTTTATCTTTTGGTAAGTAATATTAGATTTCCTAGAAGTTTCTAAAGCCTCGTTTACGTCATTAAGTAGTTCATTCATGCTATTTAATTTATTTGTAATATCTTCACGTATTAGTGTACTAAGATTTTCGGCACCTTCTACAATATTGCGGGCTAAATTTTTCATTTCTTTAACTTCCATATCCTTATTGTCTTCGTTTTCCTTTTTATTTATTTCAAAAATGTCCTCAAGTGCATTCTGCAAAGTTTGCTCCATTTTTTCATCAAACTTTTGATGCGTGTGTTGTTTCTCACTTTGATTATTCTTTTGTGAATCACTCTCAGATTCTTCAGCTGTATTGTCATTTTGAAACGGAACTTTTTTGATGTCTGCTGGAATTTCCTCACCTATTTTAATTTTATTATCTTTAGTATTTTTTTCCTCCGGTTTTTCTAAGGTTGATGATGGTACCGCATTACGCAAAACCCTATTAATATCTTCTAAGGTTTTTTCAGTTTCTTCAAGTTTTGCTTGAAAACTTTTAGAATTTACCTCTTCCCTTTTGGAAATATGTTTTGATTCGCAGGCACCGTCAAGATTAAGCTTCACAGGATTACCTTTCAAAGAAATATTCAGATCCCTATTTATTGCATATGTTTCCTCGACTTCTTTGATAACGGAACGCTTTTTCCCTCCTTTTATTAATTGAACTGATGAATCTTTTAAAACAGGATCCGACATTATTTCTAAAGTCTGTTTTTCTTGCTCCTCGTCAAAATTTTCAGCCATTTTCATTAACATGTCCTTAGTTTCTTGATAACGTGTTTCATAGGACTTATCGGTATATTGACTGACTACCTTCTCTATGGCTTCGAATTCCTCATCTTCCTTTTTCTCATCCTCAGTTTGTGTCTTAGTGGGGTCTTTGCAGGTTTCCTGTGAACACTTCGCTTTGTAATCACAGGCAGACGTCATTACTGATAACATATTTTTGAAATTTATGTTATTAATCTTTATAGCGTCACCCTCAGCCGAATCCAGTTCTTTTCTCATGTCAGCGTAACTTGCCAAATTTAGTTGATCTAATGGGATAGCTATAGGTTTATAGTACTCTTTCTTAGTCATGATCTGGATTTGGCGCGCTTTCTCAGCTATTATGGGGTTATCTTTTAACATCTCTTTTAAATTCTCAGGCATCAAAGGTTTAGTAAGATCCTCAACGGTAGTGAACGGTTGGCCGGTCATTACTTCATACTCAGATTTAACTTCACCAGGATGTGATGCTGCAATATAAGGTTTATCCACGCCTTCTTGTGGCGGAGGTTTCAATTCATTTTCAATAGCTCTTTCTATCACCTCTTTAGGTAGTTTAGCGTCTTGAAAAAATATTTTTAATTCCTCCCGTTTCTGCTTTAGAAATTCAGGGTCATTGTAAATATCGGGACCTTCCATTACGAAACGCTAATTTCAGGAAATATAATTATTTATTTATATTTTACCGATCTCACAAGATTATGAACTCACAAGTTTTATTGACATTAATCAAACAAAATTGGCGTTGTTATGAATAGCCATAGTAACAAGACGCTTTTTGTTTAATCAATATTCAAATATAGAATTGATTAACCGGAGCGTGAAACTCTGTACGATAGGTATTCTATCTGCAGAAGTAACATTGATATGTAAATATAAACCAATAATAGGCTAATGCATAATTGATAAGAATATTTTCTGGTTTGCCCGCCAAGCTATTTAGCTGTGGCTGTTAGCAATGAGGGTAATTGTCACCGATTAAATATGTCGTTTAAAATATAGTTGTCCTACTACATAAACATTATCGATTACCTACTGAAAATAGAACTCGCCGTTAATATTTATATCCTTAAATTACGAGAAAGAAAACACAAAGCACAGCTTAAGAATTTGCCTAAAATTAATTTTTAATTTTTATAAAATACTTGCCCAATTTAACCATTCTTCACTAAAGGAATAAATCATTTTAAGTTTGTGAATAGTGGGATTTGTGCGTAGAATGTGTTTTATATTATTTATATAAACTCTATTAAATAAAATAAGGTAGAAAAGAAAAAAGAAAGGGGGGAAGGAAAGGAGAAGGAAAAAGGAAGGTGTACAAGTTCTATTTTAATATTTTTTTCTTTACTGAATATATGTATATAATATAAAATATGTAATATTATTATTCAAAATATTATTTTTTTAACACAAACCTCTCGCTTAAACCCTAGAGGTTTTATGCGTGATTGAATGTTGTGAGTGTAAAGATTTGGAAGCGAAATTTTAAGACTAGAACCATAAGTTATTTGTTTATCGTGTTCTCAGTTTAGATTTTTTTTCTTTTGTTGATCGTAATAGAGACATAAGAACGAATTAACGTTAACTATGGTATTACAGATAAAAGGAATTGCATTGTCATACCACCACGTACCTAATCCCACCTACAGAAATACCTAATCCAAATAAGTATGTGGCCAACACTATCAATTTGGCAGCTAACGCTTGGTGTTGCAATAACTTGGAACTTATTCCCTATATTTAGAAGGGAAATGACTACTTTTATTCCATCTTAATTTTTTATTAAATATTTTATATATATTTAAAATAGAATAAAAGCTGTTATGAATGGTAATTTTAAAAGTATTAATAAAATTCAAGGTATCACCCGTGCAATCCCGCGATGCATATGTGAATAAAACTGTATTTCTTTAATTATAAAAGATTTTAATAATTTTAAAATTTAGGAATAATGAATAATCCACTAATTTAATAGTATTTGGGGCAACAAAATTTAAGACTATTTAAGGGTAACAATGTGCTCGGGAGTTAGCAACACCGTTGATGTTATATTGCCGAAATAAAGCCTCTCCGGCCATTTCCGGTCATTCCTAACAAATTCGTTATTATTCATGTCTGACTTAAATTATAAGAAATTACGTATTTTAGTGTAACAAAGTAGTGTTAGTGTTTCAAATATACTACAGCCATGGGTGACGAAAGGAACTTTCGGTCTTCTTATTACGAGAAAGTTGGTTGCCGGGGTGTGGAAGAAAAAAAATCACTCGAAATTCTCATGAAAGAGAAACCATGGGACAGAATGAAATTAAAGCAGTTCTGTCTGAGGTTTACTGTGCCGGCTGCGTACAGGAATTTAGTGTGGAAAGTGCTACTAGGTAAGGTAATCATACTTAAAGAAAACGAAAGTAGTTTATTGATAAGTCTGATGACAAACATTAACTCAAACAGATCTTTTTTATATGACCGTAAAATATTTTTTTATCATTATATCACTATATCCCGCAGTCGCAATTCTGCTAGCGCCAGATTGTAGCATTGAAAAGCCTTAGTATTATAAATTGCATACCTTAAAGTAAATTATAAATTCAAATGAAGGTATGCACTTTTCTCTCTTCATGTAAAAATTAATTAACCAATTACAAATTAATTTTTATTTAGGGAAGCCTAAAATTATGAAAGAAATTTATAGTTCATATTAATCAATAATGCTTACAGATATCACAACCACAATGTTTTTTTGAACATAACATAATAAACATTTGTTAGCTAAAATATAGGGGTAATTTTTAATTATTTTTTAATCTAGGGTAAAAAATTAACTGTGAGTGATACCAGTTAATATGTACTGATAATTACTTAGCTTTCAATGTCACTATCTTTGATTCAGATATCATACCAGTATACCCAGACTCTCAAAAGTTTGTAATGCAGCAACGCAGTGAGCAATATGATGATCTTCTGTTTGCTGTGGAGGACCTTGAACGAGTTAAGATGGACGCGCCACGTGAAGAAATATTATTACATATGTGGTTATTAGACACTGAGGAAACGGAACCTCCTCTGTTTCCAGAAACACGTTATCCAGTATGTTGAAGTCAGCTATTCATCTATAGTTTTAGATTCAATCACCCACATTTTCTATAGTTACCCACAGTTTTAGAAGTTACTAGCGGTTATACATATACCGACAGTGTCTTTATTTTTAAAAAGACAACTGTACTGGGAGGTTATTCTGTGTTGCTGAGTACTTTACAGACATACATGAAATGGACACAAAGAACACCCAGACTCATAACAAAAATTTGTGGATCCCACAGTGTTTTCCCATGCAGGGTATTCAAACCCATGGCACTCAATGCAGTAAAAAGCGGCGAGATCACTGCCACCAACATTTATCTTTTACTAGCTTTTGCCATTGGATAAGTGGTTTAGACGTGAAAGTGTGAATAATATTAGTAAAGATTAGTCACTTGATAATGAAATCTCTTTCTTTTAGTCAGGCGACACCTTCCTGTCAATAGCGCGAACATTAAGTGAATTATATTCAGATGAGATTGACGTTTACTGGCTCACCAAATGCCTTACAGATATTGTGAAGAATATGCAAAAAGACTTGGGGAAGCTAAAAGAAGCTTTCCAGACAATGCTGGAGAAAGAAGACCAAGAAGTTTATAAGTAAGAATTAATACTTATTTAATGTTTTTAAATGTATAACAAGTCTATATTTAAAAATGTGTATATTTGGGGCTACTAATCACGAGTAAGTCATAAGAGGCGACTAAGGGAAAAAACTACGTAGAACAGCACTGCAAAGAGAAGAAAAACTTGACACAAACCCTATACCAAACCGTCTGGCCATGTGGTATAGTAAGCCAAAACCTCCTTTCTAAGGAGAGGCTTATGTCCAGCAGTGGACTATTAAAGGCTGTTGATGTGATGTGAAATTTCCGATCAAAATTGTCATTTACGCGAGCGAAGCCGAAACTTAGTACATTAAATAATATTGATGGGCCTGTTGGTTAGTGGTAAACATTCTTGACTGCTAAGCCAGAGGTAGTGGGTTCGATTCCCACCCAGGACAAATTAAGTGTGATAAGCATGATCACTTGTTCTCTATCTGGGTGTAATTTGTATACCTTATGTATATATTTTGAAATACATAAGTACGTTTATCAACATTCTGGTCACCACAGTACAGGCTCTGGCTAGTTTGGGATCAGGCAGTCATGTGTGAGGTTATTATTATTCTACTATCTATCTATACTGGTATAAATGAATATTGCAAAGCTGTGAATACATTTCTATAATATAAATGTATTTATATTGCAGTCATCTGGTGGAAATAAAAGGAATGCAAGTGTTACCACTTACAAAATGGTTTAACTGTTGCTTCGCTGGAGTGTTGGACGACACGTCGCTTGCTAAGTAAGTTGAAATTCAGTTAAAAATGCTACAAATATCATAAGAAATTAACTATTTTAGACTAAATGTTGCCGGATTTAGAATACAGAGTGTCACTACCCCTGTTTATCCCATGGGTGTTAAGAGCCATATGAGGGGGCAAACTCCGTAGGACAGTATCACTGCAATAAGAAGGAAAACTTGAAACAAACTTTATACCAACTCTTCTGGCCAGCGTAGGCAAAAATCTCTTTTCTAAGGGGAGGCCTATGTCCAGCAGTGGACTGTTATAGGCTGTTTATGAAATAGTGAAGGTTTTTGTCACAAAATATTATATTTTTTTAACTCGACACACTTCACTAATAATTACTAAATTCATACCTGTGCCCAACTGCCCACACTAGCGCAAGCTTACTTACTACTTATCTTCAAACTCTATAACAATCTTTTTATGGTATAGAGAGCAAACAAGGATGTAGTTCACCTGACTAAGTGACTATCGCTGCTCGTGGCACCTAAAAGTCAGAAGTGTGGCGGGGATTTTTGGATGCCAGTAGCCTCACTTGTTATAATTGCTGGTATTCTGTGGCTGGCATCAGTCCTGGACTGGCCCATTTGTGCTGAAGCACAGCTCTTTTACTTTAAACCTGTTCTAGTTCTAGACTATGAGAACAGAAGAAAATTTTAAATATGTATAAATTACACTATTTTCGTTCAATAAAAACCAGGATATACATTTCCTTGTTTCAAACTAATACTTTCAAAAAAATTGTAGTTTGAAAAATATTAAACGAAAATTGTTTAACTTTTAGAATCTGGGATAAAATATGCGGCGGTGCGCCTAAGATTCTGGTGTTTGTAGCGGTCATGCTGTTAATTACGTTACGAAGAAACGTACTCAGAGCCAAGAACGCTGAAGAACTTCTCCAATGTCTGTCACTGGTTGGTTTCAACACTTCTAACTTTGTAAACAAATCTTGTAATTTAATTTTAACGTACGTACGTCTGATTGTCGCATCAAAAGAATAAAAGGTCAGACCGGCTGTTGACGTGGCGACTCGTCACCACGTCATGCGTCGCCACGTTATGTGATAGTATATGTATGTAACATGTAATGCGGTGTGTATATTTTTAATTGTGCTGTATTTATTATTTCCTTTCATGAGTTATCCCTTTATACTCATGATTTCGATTTAAACAATTTCGATGTTTCACATCAGCCAGACGTCCCACGACGACTCAACCTTTAAAAATTTTTGACTGCATGGAAAGCGGTCACCTCGCCGCTTCCTACTGCGCTGAGTGTTGTGGGTTCCATCCCAACATCGTATGATGGGACATTGTGTGAGCCACAAATTGTGGGACTGACTGACTCTGGGAGTTCTTTGTGTCCCTTTCATGTATACAAATAAAGTTCCCCACGACACAATACATTCCTAGTGTGAGTTGTCTATAAAAAAATAAATTACAATGTAAAATGGCGTCTCATGTTGTTTTCGTTCTAGGTTCAAGAACAAGAAGAGGTGATAGCTAACAAAGCTATAGAGTTGTGGCAGGACTACGGAGCGCAGCCCCAGAACGACACCCTCGCCAAGAAATGATGCATGACCTTCTAATGAGGGCCACTCATTAGAAGTTATACAGAAAGTTCTTGAAGAGACGAAGTTCATTGTATGAAAAATAGTTTAGGCAACTTTGAGACTGTAACATTGTATAATACACCTTAGAGCTCTATGAGTGCTATAAATAAATTCTTTTTTTTAGTATAAAAAGGAATATTCCAAGTCAAATACCCTTCTTTATACCAAAAAGTAATGAAATTGTACGAGCTCGTAATAACTCGTACAGAAATACACCTTAAGATCTTTACTAGAAACTTTCGTTTACTATTTTTATCACAGTAATGACTAGAATTTATTTCACATATTTTATGAGTTAACCATGCGGTTTGCTTTGGGTTCGATATTTGGTTTGTTTAACTGCGGGTCATAATCAGTTTTAAACCGAACACCCAATGCAAAATACTTTAGAAAAAAAAACTACCAAAAAACAAAGACAAGCCTCTATGGTTACCTCTCTTTTTTTACCATTGGTTATGTTCAGATGATTTGGTGGAAAAGAAAAGCTATTTAGTTCAATATTACGGAATTCGAAATATCGAACTGACGCGCAAGTATAACACTGCTCATCCGAACAGTCTTATATTTACGTTTTTTAACATGGCAACATCTGTTTTTTTTTTAATATCTGTGATGAAATAGTAATAATATCAGAAGCCTGTGGTTTTTAAAGAAATTGAAAGGGTTTTTTTTTAGTTGTTTAAAGTCAGATATAGCATGCTCTCTTATTAATTCAGTTTGTAAACAATTTTAACTTGATATTCTAAGGGCTCGCGCAGCGTGCCAGATATGTCGTGTGACTTAGGTCGCACCGACTCCCATCGACTTCCACTGTGGTATATCGATACAAAAAACAGTGCAGTGTGCGGGCGACTAGCGATGAGCGACTACTTGCGATGTTAATCGCTATCGATTCACAATTTAATTCTCAATCTATCTCTGACGCTACAAGTCTCGCGACCACTGGTCGTTAGTCGCAGGCACGCTACACTGAGCCGTTTAGTTCTATACGTTCTATCAAGTCGGTGCGACCGATGTCGCGTGACGTCACTGGTACCCTTTTTTTTACGTGTGGAAACCCCCTCGGGCCGTCACCCCACCGGGGTTTCGGGCCGGCTAAAACCACACGATGTGCCACTCTGCGCCTGTAATAGAGATCCGGGAACTGCTGTTATTAAGACATCCCGAGCTCTCACTTTGCAAATATTCTATAACTTATCTAGTAAGATATCACTTATTGTAAATTGGCGCTCAAATTCTAAGATGGAATTTCATTCATGAATTCATGAATTATATTTTGTTAATGAGAGAAAGTAAATAAATAAATTATATTAACAGCAAATAGTTTTATTTCTATATTATTGTATACTTAGCTCGCACGGCACAAATTTTATAAATTGACCGCACACAACTGGGATGGCACGCGTGCTCCATCTACTATTTGTGACCGTGCTCACGGACATCACCCATTCGCGCCCATGGACAACTGCAACTCAAGAATTTAACCGGCCTTTGAGTGACTCCTGACAAAACTTATTGTACCTTCAACTGCTACTGTCTCTCCAAAACATTTTAATCCATCCTTGGTTGCCTGGAAAAGATAGCTCTTAGCAATAAGGCCACGCTTTATACATTGCATGTCTGACAATTTTATGTATCACATTACTTGTAAAACGGTGTACCTACAGATAAAGAGTTTTCTATCTATCTATCATCTCCTTTCCCCTAACGCTTGGAATATAAAGAGTCTGCCAAGGAATTATACAAAAGTTAAAGCGTCTGCAACTTTCTGTCATCATTCAACGCAATAACAATTTCATACCCGTCATTTTCATGATTGGTACTCCACCACTATACGCTTTTGAAGAAACGTTTTGTTTCGACAATTCTGTCAAAGTCGAATGTGTGATGACTGTGTGTGAATCAAAATATATCTTTTAAATAAACATTTACACCACTACTACTTAGTTGCTGTGCGATTTAACTTTGTAAGTTCCCCTGTTTTTATCAAAAAAAATGCTTGTAGAAAATAAACAAGTAATCGGACAAATTGTACATTTCTATCTAAATTATAAATAGGGTATAGTGGGTATTGCGAGTGAGTGTTCCTGTCCTAGTTAGCTGTGTATATAAATAAATACGCATATAGATGCGTATTTATTTATATACACACAAAAAAAATACGGTCGCATATTTAGCGTATCCATAGGGATACGCTAAATATGCGACCGTATTTTTTTTCTGTGCAGAAATCCCTTCGGATACTGTATTTTAGGGTAATTTGTATAAAGGCCGGCAACGCGTTTGTGACTCCTGAGTTGCAGACGTTCATGGGCGGCGATAGTCACTTTCCATCAGGTGACCCGTCTGCTCGTCTGCCCCCTCTAACATAAAAAAAGGAGTTATAAGTATTAAATACCGTAAATATTTATAAATGTGGTATCGGACAAATCTTATTGAATGTGCTGTAGGAAATGAATACGTAAATACGTGTATTACCGGTGGGGTCGTTATGACCGAGTGGCCTAAAAACCGCACGCCGCACGGTGGGCTGAAAATCGGCTTTCATATACTTAGGCATTTCAATTTGCAAGTGCCGTTTTTTAACCGGATATCGCTTCTATTAGTTATTACTATATACAAAAATGATACGCGAGTTAATTCCGCGCAAAGACAAAGGAATTAGTTTTTTTAAGAAAAATTTGTTTGTAGCTAGTATGAAAAATTTATTTATCTCTTAAACGGCAAGGAAAGTTCCGTCATAATATGGGTTGTAATTGATACCTGAAATAAAAGCAATTTATTATATTTTATGAAAGTCGATTTTCGGCCCACCGTGCACCGTCTCGAGTGCCAGTAGGCGGTGAACCAGGGGTACCCTAGGAAGAAAATTTTTGGTACACGCTATGCGACGCTGGCTTCTTCAAACCATTGCAGTGTCAGTTTCGATATCTCAAATATACGGCCACAGGCTTGTTGGTCTAGTGACTGGACTAACAGGCCCCTTATATCTTTATACGTGATCTAGGGACCATAATAAAATATCTGCTTCTGTCTAGATCTAATAGCGACTTGTAATATTGTATCTCTCTAATTTAAACAAATAAAAACATAATTGATTATACAACAAAATCGGTTTATTTAAAACATTAATATCAACTAAATACCCTTTCGTCCACCATACTTTTTTGTCAAGTGAAGTCAGTGACTGTATTAAAATCTACTACCTAGCATTTATTTTAAAACCGTCATTTGTCATTACAGAGTAATAATGTAAATCATTGCTTATATCTCTATGATGTAAATTTTGTCAATGTTATTGCTATTTTTAATAAGCAACCGAAAATAATAGAGAAGAGCCGCCATAGCACTATAGATCCACTTCATTCGTTCATAAACTGTGTTAAATTGTTACAATCAATTTCTTGGTCGGGCAACATTAGTTAATACACTCGCCATTTTGCAAGAATGTCAGCCAAATCATCAGAGCGAGTTTTTAGTTAATTTTTATGTTAACGCACTTTAAATTATTGTGATTTTGTGTTTTAAACATCATTTGTATAGTTAAATAACCACAATGGATCGTTTTATAAGTATGTGGAAGGTGCGGGAGCTGGCGGATAAGGTGTAAGTTTTTAATACGTTTATGTTCATTTTTATGTAAATTACATCAATCTGGCTTACTAATATGGTTATATATCGAACTTCTTGCGAACCTTGATGTTTAATTTGCATATAGTTTAGGACAGATAAGATTTTGAAACATTTTAATTTGTAATTTATTTAACGCCACCAGTGGGTGATACGACGGAAATATCTAGCTTACAACGTTAGGTGTTGAAATTAAGCCTTATCAGTGGAAATAGTAATTATTGTGGTAGATTAGAGGCCGATCTCACGGTTACCTGGTTTTCGGCGGCAAAATCTTTTGTTAAATATGTAAAAAATGTTCCATTAACACTCAATGATAAATTCATAATTATGTAAAATTGAAGCTGTATCTCATATATATATATATATATGTGTGTAAAAGATTCGTTATATTTTTTATAAGGTACATTAACATACAAAGATGCCTGTAATTTCAAAATCCATTGTTAATTACTGGCATATGGCCAAATTCCACTTAATTTAATCTTATTAGGCCTTCATACTACTCGTCGAATACTTCTTTTTAATTATAAACAAATATTTGTTAATTTTATTCCCTTAGATCACCGATATGTCTGAATGGACAGTCTAAAGATTTAAAAAATATATATTTTTGACTGATAAGTTCCTTTTGGATGTTGCTGTGTATTACTTTAAAGATTTGATTTGCGAGCACACTTGCATAATAAAGTTAGCCTGTTGATTTTATTTGTTTTGTAGTGTGACACTCCATCTAAATATAAATAATTAAGGTTATACCATATTATTTTGTTTAAAAAGAGCTCCTAATATAAAAAAGAACCTAACCTAGCACTAGAGAACTAAAACACATGATACTGAGAAGTGTGATATAATGAAATACTTTCAATTAAAGCTTATTAACACAAATTAGAGCTTGCATTTCACACAGGTACAGTGACATTCAAATAATTTGACACTTAATTGTAACAATAACTGGTACAATGAAACAAATTCTGACGGGCCTGATGGACAATTGATTAGTAACCCTGACTGGTAAGGTAAAGACAGGTAGTGGGTTCGATTCCCACCCAGAACAAATAATTATGTGATGAACACAATCATTTGTTCTGTATTTGCGTGTAATATATCTGTGGCGACTCCCACATAAACATACTACAGCGCCATCTAATGAAGACACACCGAACTACGGAGTAACTACTAAAATAAGAATTGCTAATCCTGTATCGCGATATAAAGAATTCCCGCGCCGGTTAGCATATATACAACTTCCCAACATCAACCGTGGGGCCGCGGCCCGCCAGGCATGATCACCTCGCCTGGTCGGAGGATCCTCCCTTTGTGTTGGAGGGACATGACACCCGTTCCTCCTCATATCTATAATATGTATGTATTTTGAAATATATACATATGTTAATCAGCAGTATAATTGCTGTAGTACAGGTTCTGCCTAGTTTGAGATCAGACAGCTGTGTGTGAGATGTGTTATGTTATTATTATTCAAGTTCCATACAAAAGTAACATAATTAACAAAATGGTATATGTTTATATGGCACACTGACACTATCTAAAAGTGGCTTACACCCAATAATATTATTAGTAATACAATGGCAACACACTTAGGCCGACGGGCCTGTTGGTCTAGTGGTTAGTGACCCTGACTGCTAAGCCGGAGGTCGTGGGTTCGATTCCCACCCAGGACAAATAATTGTGTGATGAGCACGATCGTTTGTTCTGTGTCTGGGTGTAATTTATCTATATTATGTATGTATTTAGAAATATATAAGTATGTTTATCAGCAGTCTGAGTACCATAGTACAGGCTCTGCCTAGTTTGGGATCAGACAGCCGTGTGTGAGATGTGTAAAATTATTATTATTAATTATTATTATTATTACTTAAAACATGTGAGTTGCAACTTTCCATAGGCAGCAGTAATTACTTACCTAGTGACCCATCTGCCACAACTTCTAAATCACATCACACCACATCAACTGCCTTTAATAGTCCACTGCTGGATATAAGCCTCTCCTTAGAAAGAATGTTTTGGCCTACTATACCACGCTGGCCAGACGGGTTGGTATAGGGCTTGTGTCAAGTTTTAATTCTCTTTGCAGTGCTGTTGTTCTGAGTATTTTTCTCCCTTAGTCGGCTCTTACAACACCCACAACTTTCCATAGGCAGCAGAAATTACTTACCCAGTAACCGATCTGCCACAACTTTCTGTGGGCAGGAGTTATTACTTACCTAGTGACCCATCTGCTCATTCACCCATATATCACAGATAATATTCATCTCTGAAAACTGTCCTGCTATTGATAATATACATAAATTATCTGTCTATTACATGTTTTTAAGTTGTGTTGTTACTATTTTGCTGTATTTATATTAAATACTAGCTGAGACCCACAGTGTTACCCACGTTTATTGTTATAACCGCTGGCAACGCCGCGGGGCGAAGCTAGTCTAAAAAAGTAGCCTAAGTTACTCCTTATCAGCTATCTGCCAGTGAAAGTCCCTTCGCAATCGGTCCAGCCATTCCAGAGATGACCCGGAACAAACAGACAGACAGACAAAAATTGTAAAAAAATGTTATTTTGGCAAATGTACTGTGTAAACATACATATGCATTTAGTAAAAAGCGTTTATTTTAATATTACAAACAGACACTCCAATTTTATTTATTTGTATAGATTTAGTTGTATGTCCTTATACTACAAAATAAGGGTTGCAGGTTTGATTCACAGTCAGTACATTTATAAATATTCCTGATTATGGGAATTTGCATCAATTTGTTTGTTTAAATGTTTAGGATGTATGTATTTACATAATAACTTTAAATAACTAAATTCAACCCTCGTAAACTATGCTAAATTATAAAAAACTTGTATTCTTCTACCCTACCTTGTTTATTTTTTAATTCGAATGAGACTAACCTTGAGTAGAAAAATTATTTAAGAATATATTTTTTGAAATATATTTAACAAATAGTAAAAATATTGAAGTAACATACAAAAAAATAACAATTTTTAGGGTTCCGTACCCAAAGGGTAAAACGGGACCCTATTATTAAGACTCCTCTGTCTGTCCATCTGTCTGTCTGTACGTCCGTCGGTCTGTTACCAGGCTGTATCTCATGAACCGTGGTAGTTAGACAGTTGAAATTTTCACAGATGGTGTATTTCTGTTTCCGCTATAACAACGAATAGAATATAGAAATAGAATAAAATATATGTTTAAGGGGGAGCTCCCATACAACAAACGTAATTTTTTTGCTCGTTTTTGATCGATATTGATAACGACAACAGGGAGACGCTTGAAATATTCACAGAATATGAAGTTATATATTTACTTTAAGAATAATAATTAAATTAAAATAAAACAAATATTTAAGGGGGGGCTCCCATACAACAAGCGTGATTTTTTTGGCGTTTTTATAGATAATTACGGAACCCTTCGTGCGCGAGTCCGCTTCGCGCTTGGCCGGTTTTTCTTTTGAAGTCTTTTGAAAAGAATGCTTAATTATGTTTATCTGTGGTGTACAACCTATATCTTTATTATGATTGCTATCTTGTTATAAAAGTGAAGTGAAGTGCAATGAAGATAGCAATAAGACAACCAAACTGTCAAATGAGACTGCAAAATTAAATAAAAACATAACACGCAAAAGTAATAGAAGCCCAAAATCGATCTAAGTGGCATGCAATGGGAGAGGCCTATGTCCAGCAGTGGACTGATGATGATAAAATGCAATTCGTTTAGAGGCTTTAGACTTGCCAGGAATAGGAAGGTGGGGTTACAGATATGTTATTATGATCAGCTTTAGCTTACATACCCCATCTATTCAATATCCTTCTACCATTGCCTTTTTATCTTATAAACATACCTTGCCTTTCCTTTTTATATGCACACTCCCAATTTGATGAACTCCCAGATGACGGCAATAGGGTTGGCTCCTATTAAGTAACTGGGGCCTGAATTATAGATTATTGATGAGAAATTTGGAATAAAATTGACACGAAAAGTAGATAAAAACAATCTTCAAAACTGTTTGGATATTCTGTAAAAATTTGAGCTCAATTGATGCAGAACTTCTTGAGTTTTTGGAGCGTAGACTAACCAACTTAATGTTTTTATATATCTACATCAATACAAATAAATAAAATTGGAGTGTCTGTTTGTAATATTAAAATAACCGCTTTTTACTAAATGCATATGTATGTTTACACGGTACATATGCCAAAATATCATTTTTTTTAATTTTTGTCTGTCTGTCTGTTTGTTCCGGGTAATCTCTGGAACGGCTGGACCGATTTCGACGGGACTTTCACTGGCAGAATGCTGATGACATAAGGAGTAATTACTCCTTATGTCATCAGCATTACATTGCATAGGCTACTTTTTTTAGACTAGCATCGCCCCGCGGCGTTGCCCGCGGTTATAACAACAAACGCGGGTAACACCGCGGGTCTCAGCTAGTGCAAAAATATAAGTGCAAATTCTTAAACAATCAGATTTTATATTATTCTCTTTGTATGGAATAAAGTATTAATTAAGGAAAGGAGTAGTCCCACTTCAAAGGACGACATCACACTTGTTACTCCTTAGTTGCACACATTCTTGGGTAGCGGTAGTAATTTTAAATTAACTGATAGAATACTTATATACTAAATTAACTAAATTGACTGATAGAATACTTATATACTTTTTTTTAGTAAACACATACATATTATACATAGAAAAACACCTAAACTCTAAAATAAATATTTGCGGATCATACAAATATTTGGTTCAGCCCGGGAATCGAACTTTAAAGTGTTAATTATCTAATTCTATTGGTGTTAGTGCATTAACTGCATAATCTTCTTAAGATAAGGCTGAACAGAGCTATACCCTAACATTGTAACACAATAATAAATGAATAACCCAAAGATAAACTACAGATAATTCAGTTGTTGATTTAAGTACAGATAATTTATTACACAATTTATCTTTATA